TCTACTATCAAGATCGGAAAAAGAGGGACACCTGTGTCGAGAGTGATTCAGGAATGTGACCGAGTTTGCTGTTGCAAAGTGGGAGCAACATGTGAAAGATTGGGCCGAGATATTACCCAGAAAATGAACTGGATTCTGACATTGTCTAAGCGAGTCTACACTTCGTCTGGTAACTCACACAGTCATGAAGCGGTGGCTATCGATATATCTTTGAGCTATATATTGAGACTGCAGGGTAGGGCACGGCCTCTGTGTCTGGAGTACCAACGCTACATTCATAGAGACTATACAATACTCGCAAAGACACCCTTGTTCAGTACAGAAACTTGACTTGAACCACCAGATTGTCCGTTTCTTTGTGTAGCTCTCTTCTGATCTTCCTTTCTGTCTGTCATTTTATATCATTATTATTGACAGGTTCGTAGTAAATCAGGTTCAGTATTACATTTCGTGAACCCCACCTATTCAAGGATATGCCGACCATAGCCAAGAGCTGTGGCATAGGCCTTCTTGGGGCGTCAAACTCTACAGTGCCCCATTTAGGCTGAATATAATACCCCTGATATGTCCTATATTGAAGAAATACCATTATTTCACGGCAATTTCATATAAATACGGCTTTATAGGTCTAGAGCATAAGAATGACGCTTCCGCGAGTGGAGGCATTCCGACATGAGAGCCAAGTCACCCTCGCCCATATAGTCAGACCAAGGGATGCTGCGAGGACTGATACGCTGGCCCCGTTTAAAGATCATCAAGGCAGATAATTGTACCCCCAACTTCTATACGTCGATTTGAGTGTGTTTAGCAACCGTAGGATCCAGTTGGGGGCATATCTACCCAGGCAAGTGCTCTTATATTAATAATGCAAAGCATAAGTGGTACTAAGTAAATGTTTAAAAGCTGTGAAAGATTTTCAAGCTAAGTTCGCAATGTTACTAAATCTTGATCCACAACATTAAGTATTATCGTAACGTGCGCTGGCTGTTTAATCGTCGATTCTGGAGTCCAGAATTTGGACTATGATAGTCATTTCGGGCAGAGGGGGGGAAGACGGATTCTCCAACCTGTCCTTAAGAGCGTTGAGGATCGTCCAAGGAGTGGTGATTCTCTAAGGCTTCAATGCTGCTATGTCTTTGGATCACAGCAGAAGGTTTGGGCGACTCTGGAGCCCCCGGACAACCCAGCTCTTCATCTAGGTGGCCGGAGGCACGTTGATGCTCTCTGTAATTCAGAAGGAGGTCCACCTTCTTTTCGAGATCGGTTAATCGGTGGTATTTCTGTATCAGCACCAATAAAAAGAGCCCGTCCGTAGCGTCAGGAAGCCCCATGCCGGCGGTTGTGGTTTATCATAGATGCAGGTTTGTTTCAACCGGACGCAACTTGAGCAGGCCGGTCTTTCCGAGGGACATCGTGCCTTTTTCTTTCTATTCAATGTGAGGTTCCATATTAGGGCCGAGAGACACAGATGTAATCACTGACCTGCAGTTTCAGCAGGCTTGACGCGCCCGGAGTCGCTCGCGGTTAGGATCTCGGCGCATGGCGATCGTGGAGTAAAATCATTCGGCGTGTACCGTAATTCTGCTTCTTGGATAATTGGGCTGAGCAGCGCACCTTTCCCGTCCTTCAGAGCCCCAAGGTGATCGGCGAAAAGACGGTTGAAGGGAAGACCATTCGAGACCCGGACAAATGTGTCATCAGGGGCATTAATGGAGTACCAGGACCATATATTGTCAGGGGGCTATGTCCCATGCAGTTCGTCTATTGGCATGAATACTGGAAGGGGGGGATTTCAGACCCAACGTCACTCCAGTCTCATTTATACAATAATTCCCAGTCTACCATTTAAAAGATGACGGTTCTACAATATGTTAGAGTATGGATGGCAATTAGACCAGCCTCTTCTGAGGTATGCTCACGGGAGAGCCGGGTAATCCTGTAGAGACTCTCTGCAAGGTATGTACATCTAGCTGACAGATATCTCCTTAGTCACACCCGTAGGTTAACTATGCAATTAAAAAGTCACGCTTCAAAGGTGGAGCCTATAATGCCGCCGATCTCCCCAGCAGTAGTCCCTGCTAGGATTCCCGTACCTATTAGTCCTCCATCATTCACATCTCGAAGAAAAATACTTTTGCCCCCTTGCTGCGGACCAGCGCGAATCAGAAGCTGGTCTATGTATCTTTGAGCTTTTTGCTTGTAGTGCGGATAATGCTGCATGACCCCGCCGGAAACAGCGACAGCCAGTTCTTCTGGGCCATTCTTCCACCTTGTTATGGACTCTTCAGTCCGTGTTTTTCCATTCGGAGCAGCTAGTGTTCGAAAGTCTCTATGATTGTGAGGAGGTTGCAAAACGATCTCTCCTGCGCATACAAGAAGACCAACGATAACTGCTGCGACCAGGGAAGCCGCTCTGTCCTGGACGAAGTTTGCAATGACACGAAGATCACGAGAGGAATCCGGTGTCCAACGCCAGTCACTCATGGGGGGCTGCGGCAGCTCCTGAGACAGCTCCGCTGCTAATCCCTCATCAGACTGGTGGGAAGCCACTTTAAGAGAAAGGAAATCCGTCGAAAGGGCGTACTCCGTAACTAGTTTCACAGGCAATGCTGAACGCGGGATACCCAGAACACCATGAAACCAGTCAAAGGTGATGGCCCGCACTAGCTCACCAATATACCTTCCGCCAATCATCAACTCCAACGGCTGAAATCCCGGCCTTTGACAATGGTTATCGAGCTCTGTGTCCCATTTGGTTTGGAGATTCAACTCGAAGATGGGTGCTGAGGCACTCGATAATGTCCACTCGGTCGAGACCAGAGCCACCTGGGCACTTGGATCCTTCTCGCGAATATGCTGGACTTTACGTTCATGCAGGTCGGCTATCTTTAATGGAACAGTAGCATTGGAGCCAGCACCGACAATGAAGCCCATCACTGCGCGCGTATTTGGGAACGAGTGGATTGTATAAGCCAGCGAACAAAGTGTTGACGACGTATCATTTGTCATCGCTGCAATCCTTAACCTTGGCAGGTTGAAGAGCTTTCGTCGTTTGGCAGGCATCCGCTGCTCATCTTCATCTTCACCAGGGGACCAGGTGTGACGCTCGTAACCATCCAGTAATGCTTGGTGCAAGTTAAGATCAGTCTTCAATGCGAAGCCTTTTCCTGTTGGCATGAGAATGGCCTCATTCAAGCATTTTTGCCTAACCTTCCTCGTCAACTTTCATCTCGCAACGTGTGAGTCAAGTTCGATACCATGATGCCTACCTAATGGGGAAACAAAAGGAGATACCCGTCGTCAGCTCGCGGGGTACCTCTTCACTTGGATTGTTCAAGCTATCTCTGACAACATCTGCAATACAGTCTCCTATGAAGGTAAACAGTTCTGGGGCACGGTCTCTTCGCAGATGCTCCTCGATTGGCCAAGCCTTTTCAAGTGTTCGTCGTACACGTTGTTGGTCACCCAACAAATCGATAAAGGCCACTCGGAGATATGAGAGACCCACGTAGACCGCAAGATACCGACCCGTTTCCAGTCCAGTTGGTAGTCGGGTGATGGGGGTGGGGAAGAAGTGTTCGGGGGAGGCCGCTAACTTCTTATAGGTTAAGGAAAGGCGGTATGACAATTCATACAGGGTATCTATTCCTATACGAAGCGGCTGGAGAAAGCTCGAGAGATCCGAGTTTGGCTTCGCAGATGTGTGCGACATGCCGCCTGAAGGTGTAGCGGTAGAGAGTTCGGTTTGCACCTTCAGCAACACGAAATGTTGTTGCAGTCCGGCATCCCCGTGACTTCCGGACAGGTGACTTCGGATGTTACGCTGTCCCGCTGCCCGATGTCACCTTCCATCGGGAACCCTAAATACTTGTCTGCGGTACATATAATTGTACCTGGCCGTCACCGGCATCTTGTGAGCCCTGTTGAGGCCTTTCATGTGTTTAAATGTATACAGAATTCGTATGATGACGTAATTAGACAGGCAAGTTGAACAGGTTCACGGGTCATTAGTTAATATAGTTACCGATTGAGTAAGCCTGACATTATTCCAACAGCAGAAGTCCAATCAAGGTACAATCATATTTGATACCCTAGTAAAGTCAATTCAGAGCTAGGGAGTTGAAGGCAACAAGACTTTTATATTCTGCGCCAAGCTTTAGCCACTTATCTCCCGGAATGTCTTCGTCTGATTGGTCCAAGCGCCCGGACTTCTTCCAGTAAGTAGCCTTGCACGCCCGAAAAAATCTAATCAGTAAACCGTTCTTGTGGCAAGGGACTTAGAATCTTGATATAGCTCTAGGCTGATAATGCTCTGCGAGATGAAACCAAGTTGTGTGGAGCGAGTTGTCCGACGAACTCTCCAATCATCCGGTAATATATATTCCGCACCACATGGAAGAATCGCTGATTCTTCTACAGCAACCCACTTCGTTTAGATAACGGAAAGCTTCCGTGCATGTGCCTCACTTATTATCTGTTAAGGATGAAATTGCCATGGCTTTCATTGTCTTTAATCTTCTTATACTCTATCCCCTTCACTTTTTGGCAATTGTATGCGTTACTCCAGATGTGCCCCCAAGCTGGCATAACAACCGTATGTTTTTGCATATCAAATTCTATGTACCAGAGACATTGTAAAGGACCTGAGCGAAGTGCTCAAGAAGAATATTTCCAATCACTGATCAATAATGCCTCTGTACCAGAAGTGGTAAGGGAAACTAGCGCTATATTACTCTACAATCGTAATAGCCAAAGGATGATTATGCGAGTTGAGTATATTAATTTACCCCACACACTATCTAACACATCGCACGTCACACATTAATATATATTACTAAATATCATCACCAATGCAGAACACCACACTCGCTCCTAGTATACCATATATAACTGTCCTTCGATCACGGATCGGTATGTTCGCTGCGGCGAACGGATCTTAGAGAAGGCCAAAACCCGAACGGAAACAAACTTCACGGTGAAAATGTAGCCCTCATCTTAAATTAGTTCTTCGCAGCCGCAACCGCGAAGTCAGCGGCGGCAGCCACATCAACGGCGTAGGTCAGGTGGGCGGGCAGGATAATGACGCTGTTCTCGCAAATGGTGTCTCCGGCGTGGCACACGGTGTGCACGCGGGAAGCGTCAACGTTGGGGAAAGCCTTGCCCTTGTCTATTGAACGGTCAGCATGTTACAGAAACCAAAGATCATACGAGCTTGGATCTCGACGTACATGGGTCACCGAAGAGGAGGACGCTGCTGATTTTGCTAGCGGTCTCGGCAGGGAGCTGTTCAACGGCGTTGTGAACAATCTGGCAACCCTGGGAGTAACCGCTCATGACGAGCTTGGTGTCGGGACACTTCGAGAGAATGTCGCTAGCCTGGGATGCCCTGTTCGAATAGTGTCAGATTCGGTTAAAATTGTATATTAAAATGTCGCGAGAAGGCTGCGAGGCATTGCAGAAGAGACATACATTGCCTTGCTGCCGGCGGCTTCACCGCCAGCCAGATAGCCCTCGACAGATGCGGAATAGCCGTTGACGCCCTGGAAGCTCAAGGCCGACGCACCCACGGCTCCCTCAAACGCCTCAGCAAGAGGAGGTCCAACAAGGACACCGACCTGCGCTAAGTTAAAAACGGAACAACTGCGTAGGACAAGTAAACTTACGTTTCCGGGCTCACTGGTTCCGCGGGCGAAGAGGACAGTGTAGTCCGTGCAAGCCCCAGTAAATCCATTCTGGGTTGTTTGAGCACCGGTGATATCGGCGAGCAATTGATCAAAGTCGGTGATTAGACCCGACACCGCGGTGATAGAGCCATTGATGGCAGGCAGATGAGACAGAAGGACGCTGAGGAACTCGTTCAGAGGAGCGTTTCTTTCAACCAGGGCATCACTGGGCAGAGGGCGTGCGAGAACGCTGGCTCCGAGGAGAGAGACAAAGAGAGTCTTGATAGGAAGATGCATGGTGACTGAAGTGTAAGGGCTCCGTGAAAATGTTGACCGTCGGGTTGAGGCTATTTTGCGAGGACAATCCGAGCTGTGAGAGTGTCTGGGTAGCTGTCCTGTCCTCGGGGGAAGGCACGCATTTTATACATCTCCCAGCCGTGCCTCTTCCCCCGTCTCGCTTTCCCTATACAACCGACTTGTCTCAAGAATCATCCAAATCGGTACGGTGGGCCTCCGGCGTGGAACCTCAGCTAAGGTAAACCCGATATTCGGGCTGTTCCTTCGCATAGTTGGCGAGACCACATGCTGTTCTTCAGTCAGTCCCTCGGCCAAGAAAGTGGATTAATATATCAACGTTGCATCCTTGTCGGTGGACCGCTGGAACGGAGCGAATCATTTCCTTGGGGTTCGAACCTGGTTTGGTTGGCTATGTTTTTGAGAAAAGCAAAGTTAGACAGCGGTACGGACTGGGGTTCTTTGTCTGCTTGGCCATGGACCAATCCCGGGAGTGAGAGAGATAGCCAAGGCGATGACTGTGGCCTCCGACGAGCTTCTGACAAGCCCTCGTATTCGGACCCCCGCGGTGTTTGCGTCATGGTAATATAGTTTAGCACGGCGCCCACACAGTCATGCGCGCAGTTGGCGGCCGTTAAGCTTAGATGCTGGCCAACGAGATGCGCTGAGGGTATCCAACTTGAGTACCGTCTTTCCCCGCATTGTCCCTAGTCAATGCACGACCCCCACCGTGGTGGAGACTGAGGAATCCTGACGATTGGGACTTTGCTCAAAGGAGTGTGGCCTTAGCGAATAGGCGTACCAGGGTTCCCGCTCCCCCGTGACTATTCCTCTCTCGTTCTAAGTCAGCAAATAGTTCGACTCCCGTGGCTGATCTCCTGCCCGTCGTGGAGACCCGCGCATGCCGAGATTCTGAACAGGCACCAGCAATCGATGGAGAGGCACCCGGATTTCCCCTCCTACAGTTTGTGGATCGTCTACTCTAAGCAAGTGAGAAAAAGCTTCGAATACGGAGTACATCGGGAAATTCTCCGTGTCGCGGGTGCGGGACACACCGACCAACCCGATCGTTCTACGCACGCCGGAATGAAAATCCCGCACAACTGGTTTACTCTCGTGGTTAGTAACGCGGGTATAACTCCGGACCTGTTCGAGTGAGGGCTGCTAGTCGATCGCATTGTGTGATGGAAAGATACCCCCCTTTCTCGGCTAGCTGCTAACTAACGAACCATCGACCACAGTCGAACCGCCCTGTCACTTTTAATGCTTAATTCAGCGGACTGAGGGTGGTACGTACACTAGGGGGGGAGGGGCCTGATCATGAAATACCGAGTACACATGTGCGTGAACGGTTCAGGGTGACATTGGGTGGAGGTGTAGCTGAAGTGTGTGGGTTGATGTTGGTTGTCAGAGCAGAAATTTTCAGGGTCTGGCATCGCGCTTGGCCTCGGACCAATGGAAACAGGACAAGGAGTGACTTGAGCAACAAGAGTTCATTCTGCTTTGTAATGCCAAGAAACGGTCCCCAGAAGCTTGTTGACTACGTAACTGATACCAGAACACTGACAGATAGCGTTTTCGGATTCGCTATCTCACGTATCCGAAGAGAAGATGAGACAATCTTCCGGCCTGGCTTGCTTCCTCTTCCCGGACTCACTTTCGGAGGCCAGAATGAGGAACCGGTGAGGGCATCACCGGGAAGGATTGTCACGGTCTTGGCCGCGATCCAACAGCAAGATCAGACTGACTACGGCGTATCCCGTTCCCAAACATACCTTTGACAGGATCAACTTCACACCGGCTTGGCCGGCATGCCAAGAGGCGTTTCTCAAGTAATCTCGCGAACATTTATCCTGAGGGTAGCTTGGCTGCCGTACGTTGCACCTCGGAGCAGCCGTATTTCTGCTACCGAACCACACACCAACAGCACACGATCGGTCTTTCTCTCAGAAGTAGCATGTTTGGCATGGGCTGAGGTCCAACGGATCTAGCATTACCGTTTGAGGTGCCACCATCTATTTCCGCTTCACTAGTACACGCTTAACCAACGGCAAACTCTCTAGCACGACCCACCCTTAATAGGCGTACATTAAGCGTTGCAGTGCTATTCCAGAACTTAACGGCGAAGACACTAGCAGCCAAGTATCAATACGGATCAGATCAATCATGAAAGTTGGGCCAGACCGACTCCTGTTGTATAACGATAGACCCAGATCGGGTGGAAAATGAGACATCGCCGGAGCTTTCAACATCGGACTGAGCTGAAAGAATGACTTCCGCGACATCTATACGGGCGGTTCGAGCGGGAAAAACGGTAGATACTGATAATTGCCTGCTAGCATTCGGGCCGAAGATCCTGTTCTGACGACTTGTATATTCCTGTGGATTATCCGCTGATTGGCTGTGACTCGGCCAAGCCTCTCTGAACGTCTTTTCGTTTATGCCTACCCTGAAGACACGTGCAGGCCTTTGGCCCTCCTTTTTACAGACGTGAGTGAGTTTTCCCCTGCAGCTGTGCCGTCCTGCAGAGCGGTTCGAATGCGCGCGTTAGCGGACCTTGTAGTAGATGATCCTGCATGATGTTTATTTTTCTCTACCAATGTGGTAAGCGTCGGCTCTACATCGGAATAACAAGAAATTATCGATATGAAGAAACTACGGGAGATGGTCGCCGATTTCTGGAGATCTTCGCCGACAAGGGCAGATCACCTGTGCCAATATGTCCTCGCATAGCTAGACGCTTGCTAATTTTCTGGCACGATGATCGGACTCTTGGAGTGACCGGACTAGGTGCTGTGGCGTAAAAAGCATCGCTTCCTGGCCCATATTCATCTTCCAAACGTCGGCGGGTTTGTGCAATAATTCTGTGTACCTTTCAAGCTGCAAACAGTATCCGGAGCAACATTTCCTACGAACGTGCTATGTGTAGACGATCAATGGGAGACACGAGGGCACAATTAGATAAAGGATACTACCATGATATAGCGCTACAACGTAGAGCTGAACGACCCATGAGGTATAGGGGTGTCTGCTAAGGACAACATCCTTCTTCGCTAGTTCGAATATGTGCTGTTCTAGGCTTCAGGGATAGCTGCGGCTGGAGAACATAATTGCCTAGGGGGTCCGGTGGCGAACTGAGATCTGCCTAACCTGATCACAAGGGTCGTCGTGGTTTTGTCGCCAGCCTATCAACCTGGCGTCGCTTGAGGGAAAGCTCAGCTGCAAAGCCTTCGCACCCAGGACCATGCAGCCGCGACTGAGTATCTGCAGCTTCTCGGAGCCCCACGGTATATTTACTGGGCAAAGGCGACGGGGAGTCCGATTGGATGCAGCTTGGCATAAGCTGCAGCGCTGGACCCTGCCACCTTTGTTCATGTGTGGGTCACAATAGTCGTATATACCATTACTGAGAGCAAGGTATTCATAGTTTGAGCCGTCTGTTTTTGCTACATCGTATCTCATCTTGGATCTCTCATCACCTGATTGCTAGATGCGATCACGCCATGGTGAGCGTTGAGCATCATCTTTGATCTTGCTTGGGCACTTCAGCCGTGGCATTTATCACATGTTTCCTCTTTCTCTGGGTGTGGAGAATCCAATGGGTATAGAATCCTGGGCTTTTCTCTAGTCTAGCAGTATGTCTCATGCAATATCTTGGTTCGTTATAGGTACGCGCAAAGACGAGCGTTGGCAAGCCAAGGATCGAACTTCATTTCGCTCAACACCGATTTTAAGGCCCGCGGAGATGGCTGTCGGTATCCGCACTTTCGCAACCGGATGGTATCCTAGACCCTTTTCATGCTGTATGGCAGGATATCCAGTGCCCAACTGTTGAATATCTAAACATCGCCTAACGGAATATCGGTATGCAACGTTAGAACCCCACTCCAACCCTCAACTAACAGGCAAACGCGAAGATGGCCAAAGACTCGCTTCACGTTAATTGTAAAGTCAGCAGAGGAAATGGTGCCATATTTGCTATCTGGAAGACCCGTTGCAACAGCATTCATTCCTGTCCCCTTTGAATAGCTTTCTCCATGTACCACCATCACAGTGATCGTCTTTGAACCCCTACTTGTGGACCTTGGCTTTGCATCTTATACTCACAAGAGAGATGTCTGGTATGGTCACCCTCTGAATGTTAATATTACTGAACTCGTACAGGCTGAAAGCTCGCCACCTCGAAATACTACACTTTCTTGCTGCTCCGGGACAGATATCATTGACAAAGCTCCAGCCTGGTGACCGAATTCGATGGGTCATTTAACCTCTCGGCATAAAAGGATATTATGCATTCGACCTCTGCCAAAAGTATCATCACGAGTGGCAGATACATATTTTGTGTGTGCGGTGCCCTGAAATTCGAGCATACCGTTGTGGAGCCCGGATATTCTGTTCAGGTTGCCACTTTCTGTTGCACCATGCAACCTTCCTTTTAGCTGGAGCTGGTCGGTTGATTGACCGCAGCCCTCATAGCAGATGTTGGGAACTTGGGTGTAAGACCACGGTTACGGACCTGACTGTGCGCTTAAAATTCAGCTTCAAGCCCCCAGGCGCTAAGAGTTTGGTGACAGTCTTGGGTGTCTGTGTGAGAGAGTTCGAGATTCTAACAATTTAGGTCCGTCCCCTTACACGAAGCAAACCTTCCCGAGAGGCATATACTCTCTATATAGCAAAGTGAGGATGGTTGGACTTATGGCCCATTTACTTCTTCTATTTCTATAATGAGGGCAGCAGTCCCAAGGCGCTCAATCCACGCTAGGTCAAATCTCGAATTTGATTAAGAGATATGCGCCTTGAATTGACCAAAGCAGGGATTGAAATACGGGTGTGGGAAAGTGGTTCGATCAAGTCATAATCATATGGGTCGTTGGCTTCGCCGTCATCTCATATCGTATATTACACAAATAGTAGCAGAATATGTAGAACATAAGATAGCCCATAGTTCCCCTGTGTGCTTGTCATGTTATGTGATCTAGCAAATGGCGAAAGGCAATGTGTGTGGTACACTGAATGAAGGCGAAAAATTGCAGACTTTTGTCCAATCCTGAACATTGGCCCGCAGACTACCACGCATATCGGAATTGAGCCCGTTCCCAATCAGTCAGATCCAAGAGATCTGTCTCTACAATACGATGCTCACTGGTATTATGAGAAACCCCTAACTCAAGTGCACGTTTATCCCGACGCTTGTTTTCATTGAGCAAGTAGAGCATTAGGGCGGCTTCAACTGCGATCATCATGGATGAGGTGACGAAATAGGCACGGAATCCGGTAGGATAGGTCGGTGCTTCCTCCGACAAGAAGAATTGCGGTGTGATAATTTGACCTACACAGTAGCCGACAAAAACCATAACCTGAAGCAAGGTGATATGGAGTCAGACATATATCTAGGATACCAAAAGCTGCTAGAAATCCCACGAACTTACACTGACGGTCATTTTCTTAGTGAATCCAGCGATGTTAGACGATATCAGGGACATGCACATTATGTAGGACACTGTACAAGTGAGCAGAGAATATACAGCACCCAGACGAGACATTTTCCGATCGGCCGGCAGAGCTGTCCTCTTGTAAGTAATGCGTCAGTAGTATACGAATGTTCGAAGCTTACTGTATAATAGAACACTGCCCACAAGGACGCATACATTGCTGAGGATCATGGCGATGCATCTGCCCTTGCCAATCCACGAGCATACAATACCCCTTCTATTGTCAGTGGGTCACAGGGGACACTGAGGTTCTTAGGACTTACGCAAGTAACACACTGACAAGCTGAACGGCATGTTCTGGCATCGCGACAACGGTGGACTCGACACTGGAGAAGCCAAGACCCGTGAGAATAATCTTGTTAAACGCGTTTAAGCCGCCTCCAGGTATGCACTGTAAGAATACTATGGAGAACAACATCCACGCCTGGGGATCACGGAGGGCTTCTTTGACTTGATAAACTTTGTATTGTCGGTTATGAAGACCCGCATGATTATGAAGCACCTAGAATTGCCAGTGTCAATTATCATGAAATGGGACGGATCATACTCGAGAAGGGATGTTCTCACCCGAACAACAGCAATTTTCCGCTCCCGAGGTGTCAAGAACCACGCGGACATGGGTGAGGAGGGCATGGTGAAAAAGACTATGATCCCCCACAGCATAGTGATGGGGCCAAAGATAAGATATAGATACTGACAGAGCCTCAGCAAAACACTCCGCATGGCAGACAAGAGGAAGGTTCTAGTCATACCTGCCATTGGGACAGTTTCCCATGTACATGGCCGATACCGTTCGAGACACCATCACCGATGAAGGCGCCGATTGGTCCACCAGCCCACCAAATACATGAGCGCAGGGCATGTTCATTCTTCGTGAAGTATTGGCTGACCAAGAGCGTGAATGCAGGATTGTTGGAAGCCTCGAAGAGACCCAAGAAAAACCGATTCACGGCGAGCGTTGCAAAATTGGTCGACGCGGCCGTTGTCGCGACACAAAGTCCCCACATGAAGATCATGGATCCTATCCATTTGCCAATAGGAAGCTTTTGCATGAAGATTGAATTTGGGTATTGCCAGAAGAGGTACCTATGACTATGAGTCAGACAGCACACTCGAAGTCAAAGACTGGTGATTATACCCAAAATAAAAGATCGACGATGTCCAACTATACTGTTGGCCCTTCAGGTCCTATTTGGGAACTGTTAAGCTTCCCTAGTTACTCCCTCAGAATAATACATTCATTACTCACCAGATCTGTCCTCAGTCCATAAACGGCGGCAGTGGATAGAATACCTTTATCGATGAAGGAAAGGATATAGCTCACAGTCATCTGGCAGTGGATTTCGGTCAGCAGAGAACCAAATGCCGCATGTTCCATCGCAGTTACCATTGGGACAATGATCAAGTCAATCTTCCAACGGACGACAGAGGCTTCCTTGTCCGTGAACTCAACATCTATCTCGCCTGACTCCCCATTGAATATGTTGACTGCGTCATCGTACCCGTGGGACTGTTTGGAGTGTTCGACGTCCGTTTGTGAACGGTTGGAGGCAGAGATGTCCACGGTCTTCGAACTCATGTTTACCCCACAATTGGCCGAAAAATTCCAAAGAACGGGAATACCGACATGTCAATTCAATATATACGACGACGAAGGTAAGGGGGTGTTAAAAGTCGGATTTTTTGGAACCTCCGACAAGCTTCTCCCAAGACTGTTCCACACCCCGGACAAGGGTCCAAGACAATCCCCGCACAGTTTCCAGCCCATTCTCACATCTCGTCGACTGAATAAATCTAGTTATCCCATGTGGAGAATGGCGGGATCGGCACGGCCCTCTGTGGTAGGCAAATCATCCTTCTTCTGTGGTGACTACAGCCTGTGGATGAATAGGGGTTCTGCAGCAAGAGCATGGATAACGAGAGTCCGCTGGCTCGGCTCTTCCCGATGGATCGGCAAGCTGCCGATTGTTTTCCAGGGTCGTCGGGAACCTCCCGATACTGCGCTATCACTAAACAATTGACAAAATGTTTTTATACAACACTTATATTCTTTGCGCATTCGACATTCACTGGTCGAAAAAAAAAAAAAAACCTACAATCTTCGATTAAGATAGAGAAAGGAAGACCGACGCGGAAGACCTCCTATTTCTCTCGCTTGTGTATGCCAAGCCCTAATCTTGAACGCCAATATGCCAAGCGAAGCCAGCGGCGACCAGTATCAGCATGTCGTGGTGCACGGGTTGCCCTATGACCGCGGTTTCTCGCATGGACAGCAGGTCAAGGATAAGATTCTGCGGAATATTACTTATTATAAACGGCCAGGGAATCTTATCGCATGGTGAGGCACAACGCCCGGCGATCTTGCGTCAATCTACTCATACTTAGTAGGCCCACTGCGCTGAGGATTATTCGGGAATGCTATATTCCAGGTTTGGAAAAGTATTGGTTATCGGGGCTGGCAGAAATGCGTGGCGTCGCCGACGGTGCAGGAGTGGACCTGGAAGATATAATCTTATTGAATGCTCGATATGACCTCTCACACATTACCAATCCTTCTACAACCTGCGAGGATAGCTCTCGAAGTCTTCATAAATTGGCCTCCGAAAACGAGGATGGGCCACACTACCTCTCGTATCCGCGAGCGTCTTCTGAATGTACCAGCGCGATTATTCTATCCGAAGCGACCGGCGATGGGGAAGTATACACGGCTCAAAATTGGGATATGTCAGATCGGCTCTTCAAGGAAGATGGGATCATCTACCTGGAGGTTCATCCGCACCCTTCAGAGAATCTACCTTCCTTATTCCTCGTAACCGAGGCAGGCCAGCTGTGTCGATCAGGAATGAATTCGGACGGGCTCGGATTGTGTGCCAATTCACTGTGCAGCTCGATTGATGCACTGCCATCCTCGCTTGACAGCAGTGTGGGGAAAGGGGAAATGCCGGCCATTCCTCCATCCTCAGCTCTACGACGACTATTCCTAGAAAGCCCTAGCTATGCCGATGGCCTCAAACGGGTCGCCAGAACACCCCGTCATGTTTCCTGCAATCTGATGCTAACCACCGCAGACAATATGGGAATCTGTTTAGAAATCACCCCACGCAGGATTTTCAGAATATCCGGGTCGGCCGGCTCCGACACGCCGTATATAATCCATAGCAACCATTTTCAAACGCAGGCATTCTTGTGTCAGTCCGAGATCCAGGATAGCTTGGCGGGAGGCAGTTCGTGGTATCGTGCGGATCGGCTGGAAGTCGGCATCCGAAGAAAAGCGCTCATCGGGTTTCTTACACAGTCCGACATTATGAACGCGTTCAAGGACCACGCTGGATATCCTCACAGTCTGTGTGAGCATTCCGCACGGAAGGCAACCGAGGGCCCGTTTGTGCAGCCCGGCCACCCGAATCCGTACGCTGGTTCGACATGCACGGTCAGCTGTGTCATCTATAACCTCACCAAGAAGTCGATCACAGTCTGTAAGGGGCCTCCATGCAGGGGGAGCTTTCAAGAGTTTACCCTCAAGCGGGCCTTTGAGTCGAGGCGATAAGCTAGAAATGGCATGCAAAACGTACTTGCATACATTGGGCGATGGAAAAGTTTTCCGCCTTCCTCTTTGATCAGGGGCAGGACTCACGTGAGCGCCATCTGCATGTCGATCGACCATTTAGGAAATTGGTATGGAGGCACTTGACGAAGATCGTTCCTTAGACGAGCGTTAGATTACTAAATGAGGTCGCATTGGGCAGTGAAGAATGGTGGGGGCGCCCCGTTTAGTGTGTGAGCTGATTTGTCTGTGGCTGAGACACTTTAATACTAAAATAATCCCCCCAAAAACCAGCCATTTCTGACTCCACCCGATTTCTGTGGTTCAACCGCAACACAACATTTCCTTGCTCACGGCCAACTACCTATGTCGTGATTGTTCCTGTTCTCAATGAATGATCCGGGGAATGTCACATCTTCCAAGCGAACCCGGGCACCCATTGCGTGCCTGCGCTGCAAACGACGAAAAACCAAAGTACACTCGAAACCCCCGATTGTAAGACTGTCGTGTCGTAGTACTAACCTCACGTAGTGCAATGGGATGCGTCCAGTATGCACGCCATGTCAAAAGGCGAGAACTTGTATAGATATACACCTTTGAGATAAACCATGATCGTCCAACTGACGACTGAAGCTTGCACCTGGGCAGGACTAGGCCGGATGGGCGGCGATATGAGTGAGGAGCACGCCAGCCTGCTAGAATATACCCGAAGCTTAGAGAGCAAACTCGCGGAGTTGGAAAGCCATGTCCAGCGCAACACCACCCCGGCGTCGGAGCACCAAGTGACATCGGTAACAGCCGAGCTGTCAACCGATGTGGCCCTCCTAAGCATGAATGCCACGGCCGAACCTTTCTTTGTCGGCGCGACCGCCGGCTTTTCGCTCTCGAGAATGGTGGAAGGCATCTTGTCTCAATCCCCAATTCCGCCTACAGGGCTTGGGTCAATCGCATCCGCGAATACACAGGCGAGCAATGATGTTGGTCTGCCCATGGACAGCCACAGTAGACCCGATCCCCAGGTCGAGCGGAAGCTGGTGGACATTTTCTTTACTCGTGTCCATCCCCGGTACCCATTTCTGGATAAGTTCAGCTTTGACGAGTTTTACCACTTTTACCTAGGATCTCGGGATATCAGGGGAGTTAATCCATCTAAGCTTTTCCAGCTTCATATGGTGTTCGCAATCAGTGCCCGCATTATGCAGCTTCATCCGGAAATGGGTGGAAGCATCAATCCAGAGTTCTATTATTCGAACGCTACAAGATACGCTGATGAGGCGCTGCAGGTTCCTGGACTAGAGAAGATTCAATCTTTACTCCTCCTAGCGCTATACATCCTTCGTACTCCGGGTAGTATTTCTAATTTAGGCGGTTGGCACATCATCGGATTCGCGGTTCGATATGCAGTGGAATTGGGAATACACCGTAACATCACTTGTGGTGGGCCACGAGCACAGGATCCCTATCGCATTGAGATTCGCCGACGAGTCTTTTGGAGCGCTTATGTCCTTGACCGTGCGGTATCCTTGACTCTGGGACGCCCGTTTGCACTGTCGGAAAGTGATATTGATGTTGATGTATGTGATTTGCTCAGATGGCGATGTAATACCTGTTGGCTAAAACTTGATCTACTTGTCAGTTACCTGTTGCTCTGGAACAAAGACCTGTCAACGGAAAGGAAACTCAATATAAGCAGCCCTCTGTGGCACTTGCTGAAACAAAAACCTCGAATCTGTCCTCCTTCGTTCACTTATGCCGACTTAGACGATTGGAAAGCAGGATAAAACAGGAGCTTTACAGCGCTAGCGCCCCGACCATGACGCAGAATTACTCTTATGATGCGACAATCGACGCTTTACGACAGGAGCTTGTCGAGTGGTTGAATAATATACCCTTTAAGGCCACTGCGGACGGCCCGCCACAGGAAAGCTACTCGCTCTATGACACCCCGGAGTTCTTCCGCATACAGTACAGCAAGGCCTTGCGCATGCTTCTACAGCAGCGGATTACCCATGTCTCCGCTGAGGGAAACTCTTCCAAGGATAAAGAATACCTAGCATTGAGTGCTCGAGCCGCGGGAGACATCTGCCAGTACTATCGTACGCTACACCAAAGAAAGCCTTTAGGGTGGAACTTCCTCGCTCTGCATTCCATCTTCACAGCAGGTCTCACATTGCTATACTGTGTCTGGGCAGAGAGGGAGCATGCAGACCTAGCTCGATTTGAGGACATTCGCTCATGCTCTAACGTTCTCTTTGCTATATCCGAAAGATGGCCGACCGCCACGAAGTTTCGTGACATTTTTGAGGTCCTCGCGAAACGGATGATAGACCTAGTGTCTATGACCTCTATCCCTCACGGTAGTTTGGACGGCACATCTGTTCCGACGGAAGCCAGGATTTCGCCTGCTGGGGCTTTACAAGACTCGGCAGGGTTTCCGGCAATGAATCAAGACGACTTCTGGGCCATGCTTGATGACTGGTGGATGACGACTATATCCGCAATCAATTTCAATTGAACGGCGTGGACAGCTCATGGGGGCTTTTCGATGGCTGACGCGTGATAGTCAATCTTTTGATCAGCGAAGCTTTTCGACATGTATTATAGAACGGCGAGGTATGTAGATTTAGTCCTTGTACGAGAGTCACAGCTTACAACTGAATACATTTGCACTGTGTATGAAATCTCCCGTGATATCATCGTAGACGTTTCTTCAGGATGCCTTAACTGACAAATCATTCTATGCCATGAACCATAAATGACTAGATAATTAAACAAAGAGCCGCCCATCTATCAAAGCATTACCTCGGTCACACTGTCATCACTCAACGTCCTTTGCAGGAAGAGACAGATCAAGGGGTACGGGCAAATAGAAAAGCAAAGAATTTAGAAGGAAATAAATCAAAACTCCAATACGACATGCTAGTTCTTGCCACCATACCTGAACGCCGTTCCATGAGAAGCTCCAGAACCATTTCAATGCTGCAACCCTTCCTTCTTCCTGGAGGATGGGAAAGAGAAGCGGGATGGGAATAACCCCAGCGTATCAATGTCGGCCTGTCTTGGGCTCAGTTCATTGATGTGATACCATGTGTTCCCTAAGACGCTGCTGCTCACACAATGACCGTAATACTTGACGTGAGTCAGTCACATCTTCAGTCTCGTGAAGCATGGCGTCAACAGCATGGCGGGGGTCATTGCCACTCTGGCTGCCACTCCGGTTGCTGCCATTCTGGATCGGGCTCAGGGTTAACCCAGGCTGTCTGGTCTTGAACCGGGTTTGCCTCGCCGTCCAAAGCTCTTTTCAGGGCGATCTGGTGTTCTTGCTCCTCTGGCGACAGCGCGGCAAATGCGGCGGTATTGGAGTCCCATTGCGCTACACAATCCTTGTTCCAATTGCATTGCTCAACCTCGCCATACACCGGGTGGTTATACCGTGGATGCTTAGAGGGCCATCCCGAGGCGTGGTAATGGTGCTTGATCAAGGCGCTGCGGGAGTTATGGTTCCCACTGTCGGAGTGGCCCTGCCCAGCTGCGAATGCCTCTACGGTGAGGACGAGAAAGCCTCCGACAAGCTTGGACTCGGGGATATTATGGAAGGTCTTCCATGTTACCTCGTGCCCGGCGTTGATGCTCATCTCGGCCAACACCGCGGACGTGAACGCGGAAGGTCCGGTTCCACTGATGATATCGTCGAAGTCCAACTCCAGTTCCGCGATCGGCTTCCCTTGTTTAACAGAAAGCTCGTTTAGCCACTCGAGGATATGATTGACCAACCGCATCATTACAGGCTGCCGTGGTTTGGCCATGAAGGTCCACTGACAAAACGACTGCGACTTCTGCCCGAGGATGGGGTGATCATTGAAGTCGGGTTCATCAATTTCAACCCCAATTATCATATCGATGTCGTGCTCATCGTAGCGTTCCGGAATGAATCGGTCAATCGGTCGGAGAGCCTCGACGTCAATGTCGGCCCACACTCCGCCGTCCACGTACATGATCAGATATCGCAGCAGGTCGGCTTTGATAATTTGGGCCTTGAGGGAGCGATAAGTGTCCACGATATCCGGGCGGTTGAACCCGTCTGGGCCAAAGTGGGTTTCAACGTAGTAAAGATCATTTTGATCAGTCAGTACTTCGTAGCGAAAGCTGGGGTTCTTGGACGTCCAGCTGCGAGCCACGGTAAGATCACGCTCCTCGAACTCGAAGGGCGACACCTTCCACGATTGCCAGATCTTCTTAGGGAAAAATCGGTGGGTTTCACAGGATCGGTAGGAGAGACCATCGCTTAGCTCGCCAAACGTGTCTGTGATAGAAAGATAAGACACAAACAAGATGGCCGCGAGGCATCCGGGGATGATCCTGCGGATCTGTCTCGGCAGGCACACTCCGGACATTGAGGATGTCATTAGTTATTCCGGAGACGCATAACCCAGGAATGTCAATGGACGGAGACCCAGGAGAAAAGGATACCCTCCGATGTTTATGAGCTGCGCGTAACGGACCATGCGGAGATTGCTATCTCGTGTCCCCGCCGCTCAACAAGATTTTTGCTGGATCATCCTGACAGCTTCGTCTTAATTTCGCTAGTTTTAGTTATCCCCGTTAGCGTCCATGGTCTCATTGGTGCTGAGTGGCTGTGTTTTAGCGTGTATCCTGACCGTGCTGCATCCATGGACATCATTAAGCTCATTCGGGGTAAAGTCCAGATCCATTTAGTGCGCCACTGGAGCCGCTGCCCAAGACGCTATTGGCAGCGTGCCTCTTTCACTGGGTCGACGCAATTCCCACAGTGCCGGGGGGTCTGGGGTAAGCCTCGGCTCCAGGGTTACATCGCGAGCCAAGTATGGACCCCGACGCATGTGTCTTGGTCGATAAGACTCGACGAACAGATCCCCTAGCTGACGACTGCTCTATTTAGTTCCCAGTTGGCCGGGTGTTATTGGCCACAGCATGTCCTCGGAATTCTCGACGCATCACCGCATGTGATGTGTGATGCCCTAGTCCAGCATTACGTCTCTTATCTGGGGGTAAATTGGTCATTGACTCTGCTCATTCTCCGTTCCCCAGTCTCCGCACGAGCCGGGTCAGATCTCCCGTCTCTGAATCCGCGCGGACCAGGATTATCTCCGCCCTCAAATACCACTTTTCGTCATCCTTCCGCGAGGGCGACTGCGCTGGCCCAGTTCGCCCGGGCCATTGAATCTCCCATCATGACCAGCTACCACGAAGATAGTACCCTTGGGGACATCCCCCAAATGCGTACAGTAGATCTGGAAGGCACCTTAGAGAAGGGGCATTGGAAATCGCGCCCAACGTCCCGGATCCGATCTTTTCCTACGCGGGCCGCTCAATGGTGTGTTGATCACCTCCGGCCGGCATTTCTGACCGGAATAGGTGGCCACAGCAGCCCCCAGGGTAGGCGTACCGCTTACCTCGACGGCCTTCGTGGTTTTGCCGCCTTCCTGGTATACTGGGGCCATCATGAGCTGTGGGCGCACGATGGCATTGGGGCCGAGATGATTTTTGAGAATGCCTACGGCTACCAGAAGAAACATTACTTCGTTGCCTTCCCCGGCGTGCGCATCTTCTTTTCGGGTGGGCATTTCGCCGTGAGCGTCTTTTTCGTGCTGTCGGGCTATGTGCTTTCGGCCAAACCACTCTCGCTGATCAGAGCGGGTGACTATCTGCAACTGGGCGATAACCTGGCCTCTGCCTTATTCCGCCGCTGGCTACGACTGCACATCCCCGTCATCTGCACCACCTTTGTGTACATGACCTATCTACACTTGTTTCGCATCCACGCAACTCCCGAGATCAAATCCAGCTACGGGGAGGAGCTCTGGAATTGGTATGTCGAGCTGAAAAACTTCAGTTTCGTCTTCCGCACCGGTGGTGAGCCCTGGTTCACCTACAATTTCCACTCGTGGTCGATCCCTGTCGAGTTCCGCGGGTCCATTGTCATCTACACAGCCCTCCAGGCCCTCTCGAAATGCCGACCCAACGCGCGACTGCTGTGTGAACTCGGATTGATCTTCTACTTCATGTACATCGCCGACGGCTGGTTCTGCGCGCTCTTCATGGCCGGAATGCTGCTCTGTGACCTGGATCTCCGTGCGGCCCGGGATGAGCTCCCCGACGTGTTCATGATGCTCGAGCCGTTCAAGGAGGGCATCTTTTATGCCATGTTAGGTATCAGCCTGTACTTGGGCGGCGTTCCCTCGCGGACTTGGGAGGAACAGTTCCTGCGAGAGTCTCCCGGGTGGCACTACCTGTCCTACCTGAAGCCACAGGCGGTCTTTGATTTCAAATGGTTTTATCTGTTCTGGGCGGCGACCTTCCTGGTGGCCTCTATTTCGCGGATCCACTGGCTGAAAAGCTTCTTTGAAACTTCCTTCAACCAATATCTTGGCCGCATCTCTTTTGCGTTCTATTTGGTTCACGGACCGTCCTCTGGGTACTGGGGGATCGCCTTTATGCCGCGGTGGGTTGGGTTCGGGACTCGCATGCGATGACCTGTCCCGGGTGGATTAATCGCTTCCCTCTGCCCAAAGTCGGCCCACTTGGCCTGGAGTTGAACTTCTTTGCTCCCCACCTCATTTTGCTGCCGGTGACGCTTTGGCTCGCCGAGATTGTGACTAAATTCGTCGACGAACCCAGCGTCCGGTTTGCGCAGTGGTTGTATCGCAAGACCCTGCCTCCCGCAAACCAATCATAGTATATTTTATATAGAGAAAGGTACAAACTTTACTATTATTCTTGGTGAATTGATAAGGTTTCTTCGTCGTTCCAGCGTTCGGTATCTTTTTTTTTTTTTTCACCTGGCCTTCCTTGTGACCATTTGGTTATCTTTTGGCTCGTAAGGGGAGAAGCAAAGGATCCACCACGGACTAATTTCCACTTCCGATATAAGTGGCAGAAAGAAAAAGAAAAATAAAATAAAATAAAAATCAAATGACGACGCCAGCAGCAGATAGATTAATTTCAAAAAAGAAAAAGAAAAAAAAGACTTGCGTATACCCACAGCTATCACATGTATTTCTCCTCCAGGAGCAGTGGAGCCTCCATACCCCAGACGGGATGTTCAGTGGTTGCAACCCCGGAGAAAAGAAGCTCGACCAAATCTTAAAAGACGCCACTAAGTCGAGCTAACAACCAGGGTTACGTGACGAATTCCGACCGGACCCTGGCGACATGAAGCACGAGAGGGGGAAACACGGCTGAGCTTGAGAAAATAAAAAAAAAAAGGATGGCGCACGCGGGTCAAAAGTATCCCAAACTTGCACCGTGCCCTAATCTGCCTCCCAACGCGGTTGATTTCTCCTGTTAGCTCCAAAGGAACCCCCGTACAATAGGCTGATGTCTGCTCGACTATCGGAGTCGATTTCCCTGCTACCCCTCTTTCGTTAGTCATGCTGGCGAAAGGGTTGAAGCGCATCGTCCCCGTTGTCGGCGTGGTGCTGGTGCTCGCCGTACTAGGGCTTCAATTATACCATCGCAACTATCTCCATCGCAGTAGTAGTGCTCCTTTCGGCCATTCCTTTCCCAGGCCTGATGAAAGCCCCAGTCCGGATCCTAGCGGAAATCGCTGGGGTCAGCAATATGAACAACCACAATATGAGGACCAACACACGGGTCTCGATGCATCGTCGGACCCCAAGATAGACATGTCCACCACCCATACGGAACTGTACTCCGTATCGACCCCAGACAAGAAGTTGTTCAAGATCGACTTTGCCGGCCGACAGGCCATTAATCCCAGTATCATCCCCCATCCCGAGCAGCCGAATACATGGATCATCACCGCGCAACTGCACAAGCCTGCCGACAAGCACAAGAGCTCGGTCTGGTTCGCCGAACTGGTCTGTGACGCTGTCTTTCGGGATGGCGGACGAACCCTCGGCTGTGTTGAGCCTCCCTTGATCCTTCCGATCGCTGCGACGGTCGGCGATAGTAACAACTGCTTGGGCGACCTGTCGTACTTCACGCTCAACATCGGGCCACATGATGCGCGTGTCTTCTATGGGCCCGAAGCACCGTACGCCGTCTATGGGTCGAACTCCCAATTCACCTGCTTTGGACAATGGATCCATGACTTCCGACCCCTGGTCGACTGGAAGGGGGACGTGGATTTCTTGTCCGATCATGGGTTCCGCCAGGCCACCGAGTTGCAACGTCCCCTTCCCTACGGGGCCGTCGAGAAGAACTGGTTCCTCTTCTGGGACGCTACCGGACAAGCGTATGTGCATTACGATGTGGCTCCCAACCGGGTCTTCGCTCGGCTGGAGCTTGACGGCTCGGTCGGTCCAGACTTAGCACCTCTTGCGGCCGCGACCGACCTGCAGTGTTTACGACGACACCTCCCGGCATTGAAGGACGCCGAGTTGGAGTCGATTCACCAGGCGACCAACTCTTTGACCATCACACTCTGTCAGCGATCGGATCCGCTGTGCCAGGCCACCGACCTCAATACGTTCATCCTCACCATCTTCCAGCACAAGAGTTTCTATGCATTCCATAGCGTGTACGAGCCATATGTCATGCTCTTCCGCCGGTCGGCTCCGTTCGATGTCCATGGCATATCAACCAAGCCCCTCTGGATCTCAGGTCGTGGCACTCCTGGTCATGGCAAGAAACCGAAGGCGCTGACTACGGGAGAGTCACAGGTATGGGACCACACGGAGATGTTGTACGTGACTTCCATCAGCTGGAAAGCGCCGGGCAACAAGTACCATGGGTACTTAGACGATGTGATGTTCCTCGCCTTTGGCCGGGAGGATGAGGATACGGCTGGGATTGATATTGTCGCTGGTGATTTAATGAAGGATATAGGGCTTTGCGGGATGTTGTGATTTTTTTTTTTTTTTTTTTTTTGGATTCCCCTTACAGTGTCCTGCTTTGACTTTTTCTTTCATGACCCCCTTGGATGTATCACTAATGCTTTTGCCTTCTTCTTTCTTTTTCTCTTTCTCTTTTCTTTTCCTTTTAGTAACATCTCGGCCATTGTGCTTGGTTGTTATGCCTTGCAGTTCCTCGACACCATGGAGTTTGCACCCTTCCACAATACCTTTCATACTTGCCCGCAATTCATTATACCATGTCCTCCACTAAGAGCGAGGGATTGTTCGACATCAAGATAAACTTAGGTTCGATCAGCATACCCACATAATAGAGCCACGATCGTCAGATTGACATAAACCTTCGTAGACGGATGCATCGCCGAACGTTGGGATGAGCTTATCTAGCTAGCATGGCTACACATTGGTGGAAAGATCTGCGCCATTATAATCCTTGTCGTACTACTATGTACCCTCGCCATGGGTGTGGTGTTGTGCCGCGGGCCGAGAGTGAAGCCTTTTTATATCTCGGCTTGTATACAGGTAGAGCCGCCCTAGGGGCCCAAGCTACACAAGTAAGTCGTGTTTTATTTGATTGTTCCCAGATATGGCATCTAGGATATTTATTCGAATGCGACGAAATAGACTGAAAATACAAAGGCACTTATGACTATTGCTGGGGACATAATTGAAGAGAAATTCATCTGACATCTCGGGGATCCGAGAGGCTAACCCTGTTTTAGGCCAGCCGAGGGACCTCGGAATTTTCAGTTGCTGCACCAGACGCGCGGGGTGGGGGGGGGGGAAGGGAGGGAACATATTAACGCAGATAGGCATGTCATATTGGAATCATGTACATATAGCAAGCACAAGATCAATTCTCAGTAAAACTCCCCAGAATTCTCGCGTGGTGGCCGTCTTTACCGTCTATGCTATGAATCGTGATGGAGCATGTCCTTCCGGCATCGGATCTTGACCTCCACGATGGCTATCGGGTAGACCACTTGTCGAGCAGAGCTGTGCTGGTTATCAATGGGACGACGAGACGCGATATTTATTTGAATTGGAATGCTACCTGAGTCAATTCCCCTCCCAGATTCTCCCTGCAGTGGTTTTCCAGTAAATATTGTTTATCAGATCAACGCGTCACGCGTTGTAAACAAAAGCCACGTGCTTAGTAAGCCCCTACATGCCATGAATTCGATTCTTTTCAGGATGAATTACAACGAAGTAGGCTGCTTGAGAGACTGTGACTTTGGGGCAAGGCTAAAGGACTAATGAATAAATTTGATACTAAAGGGAAGATAGGATCACTTTCTACACTATCTAGCTTCTCACCGGCTGTGCCGATGCTCTGCACCGCAAAGTATTGACGTAAAAATCTCGTTGATCTGAAGATATTCAGATTATGGTCATCTATATACAAAGGATTATATTAAGATAGACGGTAAGGTCCAGAGAGCTGGACTATGTATACATTGCCGATAGTAATCATAACAAAACACGACACCATTAAGCATGGCCCTTAAGGCTTTGACAGCTGTTCTTTCCGGAAGAAGAGGATGTAACCGGCACTAGAATCATGACGCGTTAGCCATCATCGTAGAGGATAGAAGCAAGCCCAAGGGATATAAAGAACTTACCAGACCAACAACTGACAAAACAGAGCAACCCAGAACCAGGCATTCGCAACCGCGCTACCACCGAAGGTAGGATCAGGCGAAACCGGCCCGGGGCCCAAATTATTAGGGGCGAAGGCTCTCGCGCAAATAGTAGCGATAGAACCAAGGACTTGGGAACAAACAAGCGTGAAAAGCATGTGCATGCGAGTCAAGGTTTGCAAGAGGATGATACCGAAGCCGAGACCCTGGATCGAGTCCAGCACGCCGAGCCAGAGCCAGACACTCCGGGAGACGAGCGCACCGCCATTATATCCTCCTGCCACCCAAGGAAGGTAGTAGCCAATTCCAGACACACCCCACCAGATTTGTGCCCAGCGGGGTGCTCCAAGGCCGCAGGCGAACACGGGGAGGAACCAACTGTGTGATTTGAAGTAGCGACTGACGACGAATAGGAAACCTGCCCAGACGAAGCCGTAGAAAACAACACAAAGGATAACGATTTGCCAGTGATGTGCGTGGTGAGATGTCCAGAGGACTGCAAAGAGACAGGGTTAGTTTGGCCTGATGAGAGGGTAACTACTGTACAGAGGTGGACTTACACTGCCAGTTGCGGCCGTAGGGGGCGCTGAGGAAGAAGTTCTGGAGGATGACCGCGACGAAGTTCCAGAGGACGATCTTACGACGGAACACAGACTTGTAGAAGGAAGCGACCTTTCCAGGCGTTTGACGATAATAGTTGGGCAGACCGAATGTCAAAAGCAAGCCAATTCCGAAAAGGGCGACGGCAATGGGGTAGCAGATAGCACTGTGAAAGGCTCGGTTAGCTAGTCGGATTTATCAGATAAAATCAGTGGAACATACCTCATCTTCCAGGAGTTGGCGATATTGTTCGCCGGAGTCAAGAGGCCTTCGCTTTGTGTCTGTGACAGGGTCGAACCCCAATACCAGAGAGCAATAACATAGGCAGACTGGATACCCTGGATCAGGCATGCACGGAAGATCCATGTTTCCACAGGTGCACCACCTTCATCACCGAAGTTCAGCGCGAAGAAGAAAGAACCACTAGACGAGGCCGCGGCGTAAAACCCGCTACCGACATTCTGAATCCATCCCCGACTGAAAGAGTGGCTCTCAAAATGGGCGGATCCAATGAAAATGAAGGCAATGGCGTACAAGAACCATGGCGCAGACAGACAGACAACAGATTTGAAATAGCGGAACACAAGCCACCAGAGAATCGACGTGATTAGATACGTGGTTGCAATTCCATACAGTTTCTCGGCAGTTTGACCGACCTCACCCGTGAGCAATGTGATCTGGTACGAGTTGGCAGCAATAATCTGTCCTAAAGCGAGGAACAAGGAGTAGATAGGCCAGTCGCCGATGCGAATCTGCATCCACTTCTTGAGACCAGTGGGAGGGACATAGTCCTTTCCGAGGAGGAACTCGTCGTCTTCACTGTCCTGGGAGTGCTGGCCGTCGCTACCACTCATGCGGGAGCCGTTGTCATCGTAGAACGAGCCGATAGGTGACGCGCCGTGCTTATCACGGTAGACTGAGGGAGTCGGTGATTTGGTGCGACCAAGCCTGGCATCACGGAATTTATCGAACCATTCCTTTTCACTCTTGATCAAGTATTCTTCAATACACAGTTGCGACTCCGAGTTTGTTCCATTGAGGTCATCAAGTCTCTTATCGAAGGCCTTGTAATACTCGCCGGTGCTATCGGTGAAGAACGGATCAACCTTCTGCAGCTTGAAGTCCTTCTTGCCACCGACGACGGAGTCGAGGGAAAGAACGGATGCGCTACTGAGACGGCTGCCGGGGTCGAGGAGCCGAGGAGGAGGAAGGAGACTCTGGGAAGCGGCTGGGGGTGTTCCGGGACTTGAAGGAGGCTGAACATTTCTGGGGTGCAAGGAGTCCTGGCTGTAACGTCTACCACCTGGACTCAATGGCATGCGCACACCACTCTGTTGCTGGGCAGCCTGTAGCCTGCGGCCTTCTTCGACTTGCGCAGGCGTAAGAGTATACTCGTCGTCCGCATAATGATTGACAATGTCGTCATCACTGCTTTCTTCCTCAACATCAGTAATGGCGCCACCGTGGGCTTCCTGGGTGTCCTCGTGTTCTGGGATACTGTCACGCTGGCGAGCGCGACCACGACGGCTCTGATGACCGGGACCGGACCGAACACCAAGTGAAAGTTGTCGCTGAAGCCCTGACTTCGGCTTCTCCGTGCCACTCGGACTGGGATCTCTGCTGTAGCTAGTCTTCGGCTGGGTAACATATTCACTTAAACGGTTGAGGTTCGAGTAGCTGCTTTCCCTAGAATGAGCAAGAGGAGTCTGCGTTCCCGGAGTCATGAGAGGGCTCGCTGGTTGAGTCATGAGGCCACTAGGAGTAGTTGTTCCAGTAGGAGTGAACGGACGGCCGTTATGCTTAACCAGTTCCTTGTTGTGCACTTGGATTGCAGTGGTTTGCAGGATCTCCAAATCCTCGACCCATTGGGCGACGGGGAATCGCTGTTTAGCAGAACGGGCACGCATCATGGCTCTGGTCTCCTGTTTGGAGTTGAGTGCTGCGTCAATGGCAAGCTTGAACTGGTACAGAAGATGAGATGTCGCAGTAGATTCAACGTTATACCACCAACCAGGCATCTGACCAAGACCACCGACACGGGCACCAATACCCAGGGCTCCCTTACGGCCGAACTCGACGGCGACCAGACCAAAGGGCTCGTCACGAGAAGGAATAAGCGCAAATTCAGCACCAGAGAAGATATACGGCGGAAGAGCGGTGAATTCAGGTCTCGAGAACACACGTCCAGGGTAAACCTTCATCATATGGTCTAACTTCAGGGCGGCGAATTTACCGTAAAGGTCGATAACAGGTCCAACACAAATCACCTGCACGTTAGGCCGAGCCTCAAGAACAGCTGGCATCACATCGGCGATTAGATCAACACCTTTCTGCATGGACCAACGACCAACGAAGACCATTAGATCAGCATCAGGGTTGACTTCAAGGCCAGCCCATTCCTGAGCCTGGCGTTTGAGATCTCCTCTGCCACCTTCATAGTCAGGATCCACATGAACCTCGTCGGCGTTACCAATAGCCTTTTCCCTGCTCCATTCTCCCACATCCGAAGGATCGGGGTTAGGCAGGTTGCCAACCTTTCTCAGACCCCAGAAAATGGGATAACGGGCGTAGGACCGCTTTCCGTACTTCTTGGACACACCGACGGCACCGAAACCCTGCTGGTGAACACGAAGATAACTAGCACCTGAGTGGAGCAAGTTGAAAACCTCACCGAACTGCACATAGCGTCTGACGGTATCAATATCCAGGTTGAAGACGGAGCACACCTCCTCCTTTTCTTTCTGCGTACGCATTGGCCAGAGACCCTGGAATTCCGCGTTGTGAAGGGAGAGACAGGCCGGTACAGTGTCGGGAAGAAGATAGAGTGGAGCCAGAGAACCGTGGTAATCGTTGATATGGTACAGGTCGATCGGGAATCGCTTGCATGCCTCCGCAATACACTGATTCCAGGCGGAGTAGTAAATGGCACTGTTGAGGTCATCCATACGGGCTGGGTAGGGTTCGGACTTCGATTGCTGGCGGAACACAGGGGCGTCTAGCAGAACGTAGGTAATGTTGTTCAAGACATGGTACTGGACCTGAACTTCATAGGAGTTACCGAGAATCGTGACATTCATGGGCTCTGCCGGTGTATCCACTGGGTAATCGACTCCGCCGACACAGGGAACAACCCAGATTAGGTCTTGATGTCCCAGAGTTTTACCCATAAGCTGGGCCATGACACCGAGACCACCAATCTTGATCTTAATCTGCCAATCCTCGATATCATACTCCATTGTCGCAATGAGAACCATACGTCTCTTGCCAGAAGCGGCGCCGCCAATAGCGGTGTTGGTCTGCAGGAAACCGGACTTGTTGGCCAGGCGCATCAAGGGGTTCATCTTTTCCTCATCGCCGCCACGGTTCCTTTTGAACTTCCTTCGCAAAGCCAAGGGGATTATAGTGGCCTTTTCACTGACACCGATCTGGTTGAACTTGACCTTGTAGAAAGACTTCATGAAGATGTATACACATGCCGCACCAGTGATGACAGGGATAATCCAGAAGAGAACAAACATGGCGATCTGGGTGTTCTGGTGCCCAACAGGGAAAAGCTGGAACTTCATGGTGGCATCGTTGATATAGACATTCCAGGCCAGATAAGGCTTAGGCGGGTGCTCAGTGATGTTGATCAGGGTTGCAGACAGAGAGGAGGGTGGCATTCGATCGAGAACAGAATCGTTATCGGCATCACCCAGTACCCAGCTTTGATCGGGCTGTCCATCCGGGTTCATGCCCCAGATGTTCAGCTGAGCTTGAGCAGGCCATTCCGCTGTAAAGTGGTACTTCCAGATTCCGTCCTTGGAGTCCTGCCTTACCACGTTATCCAGACCACCATCATATCCGTACTGATTGTAAGGGCCGTTGAAGAAGATGTGAGGGAGGCGACGTGGCACATTTGAATCCAGTCCAGCATCACCCTCCTGAACGTAATCGCTGCTACCGGTCCATTTGCTCCAATACTCGACCCGCACATGGTGTCCCTTCCATTTCTGTTTCTTGGTTCCAGACCATTCTAACTCCGTGATGGTGTCATTACCTCCTGTGTAAGTCTGCCAATCGGAGAACGTGGTTCCCCAATTGGTGGAATAACGCCACTTATCAGCGCCTGCGGCGTGATGCTGAATGAACAGGGTGCCATTCGATTCCTCATGGAGCAAACTACTGGAATAGTTGGCGGAAGTGAAGACCATGGGATTGTCAATTTGTCCGATACGGAAGAGGAAGTGGTCGACCGCGTTTGTTGTCGCGTTTCCATGAGTACTGCTAGCATTCTTAACCGTGACTCGGTGAATGCCATTGTACACTCCCGTCAGATTGGCAGCCCACATGAAGACGCTCGGGAGCTGCCCGGTCCACGAGGTGTTGCTTGCTGGAATTCCCTTGCAATCAACAGTCTTCTCATCAAGGGTGGGGACCTTTTGGGATTCCGTAGAAGAGCTGATGGAGATTGATTTGGTCACGGAATCGCAGTCCATCTCTTCGGAGAAATAGAGCTCAATCTTCACGCTTTCATCCAGGTTGGGAGCCACGGTGGAACGAACAGGGACGTCGTGACCGGGAGTAAACTGGGTGATCATGGGCCGGGGTTTGCCGAAACGCGTACTGGGGACGTAGGCGCGGAACGCATAGGCGTCCAAGGTCATGTTGGCCAGGCAGCCGTTGAGCTCGCTAGATCCATTCAGCCCAAGCTTGACGGGGCCATCAATCAAGGTGTGCTCGTCATAGGGATAGAACAGATTTTTAACTTTGGTGCCAGTGGCGAAAGGCGAGATCAGAGCGGTCTCGTTGTCCTTGCAATCGAACTTATAGTCAATTGTACGGTTGGTGTTGTGGTAGACGAGCCAAACCGGCTGGTTTTTCGCGTTGGAGCCTAGATCCTGCACATCCGCATTGACATCACGTAGGATAGACCACAAACCCGTCTCTGTAGCGGTACCGTTGGAACCTGTGTAGAAGACCTCCTCGGTCATGTTGGAGAGTTTCTGGATGGAGTAGCCATCATTCAACACCGGGAAGTCTTCGCGCATCTGGTACATATGCTTAATGACGTTGCGCACCGGGTGGGATGGGTCACGATGATCGTACGCGGCGGTTGGATCATGGCAACCTTCACGACCAGCCTTGATAGGCCACTCATAGTACTGGGACGAATCCAAAGAAAAGCAGCCATGGTCTCTCCACGCAGTTGCAGGGGACATTGCTTGGCGGCCGTAGATATAATTAGATGCCGTCGCATCCAGGATGTAGAATGCCTGTTCCTCGCCCCAGAGAAGGAGGGGAATGCCCGGAAGAAGCAACGTTGTGATATACAGCCCAAGCAACTGCCGCTCCACACCCTTTTCGACTGTTGGCCAGCGGAAAACATCCTGGTTGGTGGCGCCAAACATATGGCGGGGGTCAAATTTGCCTGTGTTAGGGTTAATGAAGTCGTTTGACTGCAGCATCAAATTCCACGCATCGACCCAATCAACAGGAACATCGTAACCGGCGGCCAAATTACCGTCCATGCCCAAGAAACGAGTCAGAGCACGGTAGGTCGAATAGTGGAAGGCTGCGGCGTCGATCGCCTCATGTCCAGCCTCACGCAAAAAGTATTGCGACTCGGACTCGTTTGTCATCTTCATGGCCTTCTCCGCCGTCTCCGGATACTGGTTAGGCTGTCTGCCTCGACCCAAATAGATAGAACCGAAAGTGTTACCACCAGTGATTTCACCGGAGATGAAGAAATTCTCCTTGCCAACAGCCCGGGCGCATTCGCGATAAGCCATCGACATATCTCCCAGCGCATCCACGGTGGACTGGGTAGCCTTATCGTAACGGAAACCGTCGATATCCAACTGGTAGATGATCATACAGGAGTGACGAATCAACCGCTCCCGGACCGAGGGGTGCCATTCTCGCAGACGATCCTGGACGGATGCGAATTTTGCTAGCTGACGTTGCCAATCGGGGAACACGCCGAAAGCCTCAATATCGCCATACTGATCAAAGTCACTGTCATAACAACCAACTAGGCCCGCCGTCATGGACTGTTGAACTGGATAACCGTCCTCGTACCAGAAACGGGGATAGTCGCAGGTCTGATTATAGTCGTTTCCGAGATCGAAATCCACATAGTGACGATTGGTCTTCCAAAGCGCTTTATGCTCCTTGGTCGAAAACGGGGTTGTATCATTCAGATGGCCCTCAAAGCCGATGAGATCACCCATCCTGAGAGTGAATGTTAGAAATTCCCTCTAAAGAACTGTCGTTAATGCGGAAATACTTACGTAGCAATCGTGTTATCGAAGATGACATACATGCCGCGCTTATGAATTTCGTCAATAGCGTTACGCCATGTTGCAATGTCACCAAAGTGTTGATCTAGTAGTGTCGTATCGAGTGCGGAATAACCATCGGAGCCCCAGGGCTGGTTCATCAAGATAGTTCCTGCAAGATACAGCCCCTAAGAGTTCTCAGTATGCCACCCCCCGCAATAGAAGTCAACGAACAACGAACCTTGATACCCATTCCCTGAAGATAATCCAAAGTATCGACTAGACCAGCTACATCTCCACCATGACGCATTTGTGTCGAGGAGATGTCATGCTCGAAGAGGGTGCCATTAATGTTGTCATTCGTAGGATCTCCGTTGACAAAGCGATCCATGAACAGTGTATACATGGGAAACCGCCAATTGTCGGGAGAAGGGAAGTATTTCCCCTTGTGGTCCGGCCATTCTCCCCAATATTGGGCCGGGTTGGTCGCGGACTTGTTTTCGTTAAGGTTATATGAGGATAGAGATTCGTCGTAAGGCCAGGCCGTGGCTGTGGTTGCGAAAAGCGCCAGCACCGTACTGGAGAAAGCCCACTTCATAATGGGTGGCAGGTCGGGCACGCCCGGTGGTCAAGTTGGCGAGAAACCAAAATATGCAGGCAAGAATCGGTAATCCGCTATGATGCAATCATATATGCGCAATCTTATGTCCCGCAGATAGGTACCGCTCACAAACACTGTGGATTACTGCTCGGTCAATGATGTCGGGAGTACTGATAACGAGCGATAGACATCAGATAACGAGCAGATCGGCTTTCAACGAATGGAATCTATTGTGTAGGAGGGGAGAAACAAGAAAACAAACAAAATACAGTCGGGCAAAAATGGTACAAAGCTTGAGGAGAGAGAGAAGGTCCAAAACGAGGGAGAAAGGGAAAAGAAGAGAACAACCTAGTGACTAGCAGGTTGTCTTTGAGGCTCAGCATAAAAGGCGGCCAGGATTCGTGAACATTAGCGATAGTGGATCAAATGTAACAAAGACGTCTCGTGTCTGCTAATAATAAACAGGGCTCAGATGTGAGGGTCACCGTCTATTGCTCAAAAGTGCCAGCTCACTTGAGACTATTGTCCCCTATCAGCTAAAGCGACGAGTTGGTGAGCCTTAGTGACCACACTGTTTTACTCTAGCTTCTCCGGATCTCATTCCCCTCCGTCCTTTTTTTACTACTATGGGTTTTACTTTTCTTTTCTCTTTTTTCTTTTTTTTTTGCCGCGGGCTATAAGAGTCGAGCTCCCTCTCGACCCGCGGTTTGAGTGACGTCTCGCTGGTCCGAAGGCGAAAAACTTTGTGGACGCCCCAGTGAAAACTCACGAATTGATTGATACTTTCTCGTATAGACTGGAAACCGTTAGGTTTACTCCCGGTCCGGGACATGAGTGGAGCCCAACGGGGCAGTCATATTTCTTGAAATATAGATTACTTTTAGCCAATTGAGACACCTATTCGGCCATGCCCACTTCGATCCAGTAAATCACACCTCTCTGGCCGCCGTCAGTCTCGCTGGTCCCTCATGATGGAGCCTTTGCACATCCAGATCGCTGTGTGCTCCCCGACGAACTGTCGTGGCCCATGGTGGGAGGTTCTTTATCTCGCGCCATATCCGAACCTCAAGAGGTCAGATCTCGTATTGACGCCTCAATGTAATTAACCGAACCAGTTGAATAGAATACGATACAGTGGCTTGCATGACATCTGGGATGGTGAGACTTAATTGGCTTTACTAAGACCAAGACTGCATGATATGTCTTACTGTAATAATCCTCTCTTTCTCTTCTCGTTACAGTTCCGTCGTCTACACATATGTACCGTCCCTTCCGGACAGCACCGTAGGACCGATTTAGATAAGAACGGGGCACCCCGATTGGTCGGGGAGGGCGTGGGATCTAAATTCTGTGCCATGCAGACGGTGGTGGCTCTCGGTTGATACCTGGATCCATAGAGCCTGCCCTATTTTCATCCATCGGGTGAAACCCGACGAGTAAATGGCGACGTGGACTCCCGGAAGAAAATTTTGATTCTTGGATAATATTTTTTTTGTAATTAATAATCCTGAAGAGGAAAAATCGGGGCAAGAAAGGGCGAACGTCGAGACATTGGAAATTCCAGAATACTGTCACGGCGGGTCCTCGCCATTTTGGCCCATTTTTATTCTTGGCTACAGTTAACCCTTTTTGGGTATTAGGGTTGTTGACTTTTCGGTCTTCAGTCACTAACTTGCTTCAGATCCACGGCTAGAGTATCGGGAAATCGCCAATCCGATATCAATATCTCAGACTCTCGGTGGGCCTCGGCCAATTATAGACCAGGTCCAAGAGTTCTTAGCCCGTATTTTTCGGGTTCCCGTGGGTCCTTGGTTCGACCTCCGGTGTCTGACCGAGGAAACAACTGGGAAGGGTCTGATCGAGCCACCGAGTTAGTAAAAAAGGAAAAAGAAAGAAAAGGTGGGAAATGGAAGAGAGAGAAACGGAAAGTGCATAAATTATTAAAATGATGTCTTACTTATTGTCCAATGACCATGATCATACGGATTTCATAGGGCATATATACCCCCATTCCCTAATAGCCGAAGCTGACCTATTCTTTTTGGAATTAGTCCACACTGGACAATACTATGATCCTCGATGGCTTTCCTGGTACTCCGTACTCCATCTCGTATCGAATTGTTCGTATTATTGAGTTCCTTATCAGACAAGTTTAGATTGGATGTCCAATCCCAACACGGACCGTCGATCCCAGGATTAGATAAAGAGGCCAGGATAAAGTCAAAAAAGAAAAAGAAAAAAACCAAGCTAGCTTTTTCAGCATAAGCCCTGTTCATGGCAGGCTTGAATTGATTGTCTAGCCTCCATTAGGTGATTTTACTCGATTTTCTAAGACCCATCGGCTCCACTCGGTTCGTTCCCTCCTAATTGGTGCATGGGTCAAGTAATTCCCATCCGCCGTGAACGCCACTCAGTCAAGTCAATTGGCAGGAAGAGGATGGACTAACGAGAACGCTACCACGACTCCGTCCAGAACTGGTTTTGGTAGTACAAGCCGGTATTACTGAGCTCACCACCGTCAGTGGACGAGTTTTTTGCTAATCTAAAAGCCCAACGCTGCCCTGGCCGCTGGACCGGGCACTGGACCTCTTTGTTTCTTTTTTTAGTCGGTGACCAACGAAGAAAACAGCTGCCCTGATCGTGGTCCCATTAGCTTCCCCGGCATGCAACGTGCCATCGGTACCCATAATTATCTCAAGTTATATGTGAAATGCTAGCAGTGCGTGAACTGGCCACCCACTCGGGGATACTTTCCTGGGCAGGCGTAGGTCGTGGTCTGACTGTCTCACTTGCTTAACAGATCCCCCATGTATGTCCATGGGAAACACCAGGCACTATTGTCATTCTATTGGCAATTCAGACGATCAATTACTCAGGAGGGATGTCTCAAACACCTTGTTCCACAAACATTGTCTCGGGTCATCGGCCCTTCCCGAGTATTCCCAGCTTCTTGTCCCCTTTGTACCTGGCAGTAGCCTTATTTTCCAGCTCTTAGGGCAGGGCGAGAGGGGCTTATCAGGCATTTTAAGACCACAGACAATGCCGAGGTGGCCACAATAAATCCCAGGGGTAACTAGCGTCCTGTTCCAATCCGGCAAACCTGATGGGACGGTTGCACTGGAGGGGTCGAGGTCAGCTTCCATGTAAGGAGGCGTGCATCACTCAACTACCAGGGCATGATTCAGGCACGGAGCAGAGGAATCATGTCTTCTTCTATGCATTTTCCCCCGTCCTAGCATTGCTAGTCCATAATATGAACGAAAAAAAAACCAGACGAGGCATGTGACCGGATCTAAACGGAAGTTCGCTTGGCTCTTCATAGCCGAAGGTCTTGGGGGGGAAAAGAGGGGATTTCCAGGGGGCATCGGCAGACCATCACAGTGACCCTAAAATTGTGGGAAATGATCAATTCCTTCCCAATTCCAATCCACTAAGCAGAAGAGGCATCAAGGTTAGATATATACAGGACCGATGGAGTAGCTAGAGGAACTATTGTCCATGATATCCATCTATTGCGGGTATGGACGTGTTGCAAGTATATACACCGAGCAGACTTAGGGCACGCCGGCGCTCTTTTGCAGCTGCGCTCTAGATCCACCTTTCTTCAATCCATTTCTCGAGTGCAACGTTCCCCAGGAACTTTATTTGTGGTTCTATTCTTCCCTTTTCCCCCTTCTTTTCCCGTCCTTCTCTCTCTCCTGGGATGGTTCGTTCCTTTCTAACAGTCGTTCTTGTCGTTCCTTATTCATCCCCTCGTTCTGTCGATCATTGAGACCTGACCACTGTCGTTCTTTACATTTGTATATCGTTTAACTCGTCACTCCTTGATTTTTTGTTTAATTGATTGCTTGGACGCGTCATTCCTTCCTTCCGTTTGTGGTGTTCCATTGTCAGTATCAGCCACTTCTCCCGTTTACATCCCCACAAAACGCGTATGCGAACTGTTTCAGGTGCGCCATTCGAGCTTAAACGGCAGAGCATACAGACGATCTCCACAAAGATCGACCATCAGCTTTGTCACTCCATGAACTGGGGTTACACAAGTTAAGGATCCACCGGAAATTACTCCCGCGACTATGGTTTCGTCGTCATCCCTGGGGCAATGGGCAGGTGCCGTCCTGGCTACCAGCCTTGTAGGATCAGCCCTGGCTGCGACCACAGCAGAATGGAAGTCGAGATCCGTCTATCAAACCATGACAGACCGATTCGCGCGCACTGACGGCTCAACAACCGCCCCGTGCAACACCACTCAGGGCCTGTACTGTGGCGGTACCTGGCGAGGTACCATTGACAAGCTCGACTACATCCAGGGCATGGGATTCGATGCTATCATGATCTCCCCCGTCGTAGAAAACATCGAGGGCCGCGTGTCCTATGGAGAAGCTTACCATGGCTATTGGCCCCTGGATCTGTACTCCCTCAACTCGCATTTCGGTACCCACCAGGATCTGCTCGACCTGAGTGAGGCCCTCCACTCTCGTGGGATGTATCTGATGATGGATACGGTCATCAACAACATGGCCTATATGACCAACGGCAAGGACCCCGCCAAGAATATTGATTATTCTGTCTTCACTCCTTTCAACGACTCCAGTTACTTTCACCCGTACTGTAAGATTACTGACTGGAACAATTACACCAACGCCCAGCTGTGTCAAACCGGAGACAACAAAGTGGCATTGCCCGATCTGTTTACAGAACATGAGGTCGTACAACAGACACTGGAAAAATGGGCCAAAGAAATCATCTCCACTTACTCGATCGACGGCCTGCGTATCGACGCAGCAAAGCATGTGGACCCTGGTTTTCTCAAGAACTTTGGCGACGCTATTGGCTCGTTCATGACCGGAGAAGTTCTGCAGCGGGAAGTCGACACCATCTGCGAATACCAGAACAACTACATCGGCAGTGTCCCTAATTACCCCATCTACTATTCTGTCATCAATGCTTTCACCTTGGGTAATACTAGCGACCTGGCCAACCAGGTGGAAGTCATGAAGAATTCCTGCGACGACGTGACTGCCCTCGCCTCGTTCTCGGAAAACCACGATCTTGCGCGATTTGCTAGTATGACGGATGATATCGCGGTATGCAATCACACCAGCACAATCAAGCGAAAGTCTTCATAGCTGACCGTGATGAACACAGCTTGCTAAGAATGTTTTAACCTTCACCATCCTCTACGACGGCGTTCCCATGATCTATCAAGGCCAAGAGCAGCATTTGGACGGACCGGGCACACCTGACAACCGTGAAGCCATCTGGCTCAGCAAATATAACACCGACGCCGAGCTGTATAAGTTGATCGCGAAACTGAACGCCATCCGTAAGCACGCCTACAAGCTTGATCCGAACTACGTCAGTCTCCAAACATACCCTATCTTCCGGGGTGGTAGTGAATTGGGCTTCCGCAAAGGTGTCGAGGGCCGACAGGTGGTGATGCTCTTGTCCACCCAGGGCACCAATAGCAGCGCATACAACCTCACTATGCCGGTGAGCTTCAACGGAGGCGTGGAGGTTGTGGATGTGCTCAACTGCGTGAACTATACGGTCAACCCGCAAAGTGAACTGGTGGTTCCCATGGACAAAGGCGAACCCAGAGTCTTCTTCCCCACCTCTCTCATGCCGGGCAGTGGTCTTTGCGGTTACACGTCCGAGAACGTTTCGTTCGTTGAGCTGAAGACCAAGGGCGCGGCGGCTGCGATGTCTCTCGGTGCCAAGGCCACCGGCAGTGCCGCTCAAGGCGTCTTGCTTTCTGTTCTCCTGTCTAGTCTTGTTGCGGTATTGTTGTAGTCTGCTTGGGACAATAATATATCTGGGCCTGTTGAGGTGTATTGATGGTGTTACTCTCGTTCTGCTGTATATATTCTTTTCTTATTACACGCTTCCGACCGTACGATACCCAGATACCACATTTATCTTCTCATGGGTGACTTCATGTTGTTGTTATGCTTATTCTCTAATGTTTTACTGTTGAAGTGTATGTGTATGCAGAATATATATGACTCTATTATCTAGTCTTGCTTTTTCTTTTTTTTTTTTTTTTTTTGACAGTTATATATGTTTATATATATTTGGTAGTGCAGGCTATATTCACTTACTAGTACTCACGTGAGGTATCCAGTGATTTGGGAAACGCGCGTCAATTTTTACATGTTACTGTACCTGTTAAGAAATTTCTACGCTATCTCTGGCTTCATATTTTACCTATAGTTAGTTAACTAAAAACTTGATTAAGCAATACACAAAATATGGGTATGACGCAAGGTCGACCAGGTCAACTTGCTACCACAGTAGAAACTTTCTCGGGGTTGTGTCGGCAGAACATCTGACTTAGGGTTAGGGGAAAGAAAAAGAATGGGCGAAGAGGAAAAGCCAAAAAAAAGGACGAAAAAAAAAAAACGGAGGAAAAAGAAAAAAGAAAAAAGCAAGACAGCAGTGAGACAAACAACAAGAATTGAAACCCGGTGGCGCGGGTAAAAATAGAGAAAAGACCCACTTGATGATTGGCCTCGACTCCACTACACTAATCTCTGCCCGACGGTCCTTACATATGACATGGTCGACGATCTCATACTAATCTATACGACTCGGCGCTTTATCACAGCATTGTTTCCCGAATTTAGCACCTGGTTGTGATCTGGATACGCTTCATTGTCGGATTTCACCATGGTGTCCTTTTTCTCCCGCTGTTTTCCGAAGAGGAGAAAAGGACAGCAGCAGCAACAGCAATGGAAGGAGATTGAGGGTTAGCTCCCCCCACCATATACTTCATGGAATCATCGTATGATTGTTTACATACTCTAATGCGTCTTGGATACACACAGAAGCAGCTAGGGATCTGGAGTCGCGCCCATCATGGAATGCCCCCGACAACACTTTGCTTCTAGAAGCATTTGAATGGCACGTACCAGACGATACTTGTCACTGGCGACGTCTGCAACATGCTCTACCGGGGTTGAAAGAGATCGGGATCGATAATATCTGGATTCCGCCGGGCTGCAAAGCTATGGACGCCTCGGGTAATGGTTACGATATATATGACCTGTATGATCTAGGCGAGTTCGATCAGAAAGGATCACGAACCACCAAATGGGGCTCTCGGAGGGAGCTCGAAGACCTCGTGGAAGAAGCAAAGTCGCTGGGCGTTGGTGTGTACTGGGATGCGGTGCTCAATCATAAAGCCGGGGCGGATTATCCCGAACGGTTCCAGGCTGTTAAAGTAGATCCTAATCGTATGACCTTTCTTCTTTCTTTCTTCTCTTCATCTTCTCTCTAGTCTCGGATCAGTGGTTGATTCAAGTTTCTTGCTCGTGCAGGACGAAATGTCGAGATCTCCAAGCCCACTGAAATTGAGGGTTGGGTCGGTTTCGACTTCGCTGGCCGCGGCGACCAGTACAGCTCGATGAAATATACTTGGCAGCATTTCAATGGTGTGGACTGGGACGAATCGCGCAGAGAAAATGCCATCTTCAAGATCCATGCACCAGGCAAGGATTGGGCCCAAGACGTTGGCAGGGACAATGGCAACTACGATTATTTGATGTTCGCCAATCTGGACTATTCCAACCCAGAAGTACGGGAAGACGTCTTACATTGGGGAAGTTGGATAACGAATGAGCTATCTCTGAGTGGCATGCGACTGGACGCCGCGAAGCATTTCTCTGCTGGCTTCCAGAAGGAGTTCATTGAGCATGTTCGCAAGACGGCTAACAAGGATCTGTTTGTCATCGGCGAATACTGGTCTGGAGAATTAAAGGATCTTCTGGGATATCTTCAGCAGATGGATCACTCAGTGACGGCGGTTGATGTGCCTCTCGTTGTGAACCTGTGCAGGACATCGTACACGAAGGGGGGCGATCTTCGCAAGATATTCAAGGGTACTTTGGTGCAAAGCAAGCCGGAGAACGCTCTGGTGAGTAGCTGTAGAACATGCGACAAAGAACTGCTCTACTGACAATACTTCCCCATAGACATTTGTTTCGAATCATGACACCGTAAGTGGACTTTTACCCCCCTCTATAATAGATTGTACTGACAACATCAAGGTACCCGGGCAAATGCTTGAAGTGAGTATCCTACATTCCGCCTGAACCCTACCAATCCACTAATAAATCGAAGAACCCAGTTGCACAATACTTCAAGCCGCTGGCATATGCTTGGTGCTTCTCCGTAAAGATGGACATCCATGTGTGTTCTACGGAGACCTCTATGGTACTCTGGGAGAAAAGCCATTGAAGCGAGCCTGCAAGGGCAAACTTCCGATTCTCACGCAGGCTCGAAAGCTGTACGCTTATGGAGAACAGCAGGATTATTTTGACCAAGCCAACTGTATAGGTGAGTACTTGCGTTTTCCTTTTACTCCTTTTATTTTTCTTCTTTCAATTTTGATTATCTTTGAAACTTTGGCCATAAATATGCTACACGTATCATTCATATTCTGCATCTAACCAAGAAACCAGGATTTGTCCGTTACGGAAATGCGCGCCATCCTTCCGGGATGGCCTGCATTATGAGCAACGGCGCGGCAGCAGAAAAGCGCATGTACGTCGGACCGAAGCACGCCAACGAGCAGTGGACAGATATCATGCTGGGCCACGAGGGCGCTGTCACCATCGATGCGTCGGGGTATGGGGTATTCCCCGTCAATGGCATGAGTGTTAGTGTCTGGGTCAACTCAACGGCACCTGACCGAGACAGTCTCCAACAAGCGTTGTAAGTCACAGACCCATTTTTTCCATTTTTTTTCTTCTCTCTCTCTCTCTCTCCTCTTCCAGTGACTAACAGCAACTGATTCAGTGATGACAAAATCTATGAATAATAATCCACCCAGCTAACAATCTTTTGATTGTATAATACTTAGAAAGAAACTCTCTAATTTAGGTAATGGTAGTTAGGACTCCGCAGGCCAATGCAGCGCGCAAGCTCACGTCAATTAAATCTAAATTACTATAAGACACCTCGTCCAACAAACCAGATACATATCCAATCAGTTATCAGATTAATCAATCCAACTAAGTCATGACCACGCTAGAATGGCTCGTATTAATCTATCGAGTCTCGGTGGAACCGGGAGAAGGATCGCATCCCAAAGCGGTCATTTAAGGGCTTTTCACGTCCAGTGACGGCAGTGGTTCGGTGAAACCGACCAAAATTCGATAGTTGTCCACTGTTCAGGACTAAGACTCACTAGTGTTCCAAACCAGAGAGATTTTATTTTATTTTGTTTCATTTTTAAGAAAAATAAAAGAAAAGTTGTATAACCCGTATTTACCATACGGACGGAGATCAAGTTCTGTACCCGATGTGGGTCGTCGTTTCTTTTTTTTTTTTTTTTTTTCTTTTTTTTTTTTTTTTTTTTCCCTTCCTCTCTCTCGTTTCTTTGCGATCAGACTCCTCCAATATGGGGTATGGAAACCACTATTGAGACATTGGTCTTACCTGCTCGGCTTTCCTTTTGGGTAACAAAAACCCTCTTTGCCCATTCTTTAAGACGAGTCAATTGTCTCGGATCTGACCTGCCGTCGGCTATATCGGGTTTTTATTGAATAATCTGGATCCCCTACGTCATTGACTAACCCAGTAATCTTGACGGATCACCCACTTTCTCGGTCGACTACTGGAAATGTCAAGGTCAGGCAAGGGTCCTCGGACTGGGGTCGTTGTAGTGGGGACTTAGGGTTCAAGTTGCTACCCATCCCATCTGCCAGCGCCGTTGTGGCGGCACTTATGCACCAGGGTATTGTTTGCGCGGTGATACATCCCTGCTCGTCATCATGCCCAACGAACAAAACCCATAGCTACATATTCATCGTGGACATTTGTATGTAGACTCCAAATAGCCCAGTGGCGATAGGATGACAACCATGCAGTTACCGACCCACAGAGGACGGTAGATCAGCAGTCAATCCGGCAGTTCGCCGAGAAGACGATCAGCGAAGCTTGGGAAAGGCGTGGCTGTAGAGTGCCATTCTTGCCTAAAATGATGTATTATGTACCCTTGCATTTCACTATTGGTTAAAGGATTGACAAAGTAGGCAGCATTCTATAGACAAGATGCTATTAGACGAATTGAATAAAATATACATTCTATGTTTCCGTTCACCCATCAACCGCCCTTAACGGCCATTACATCATGTATCGAAGTAACCCTGATTCGCATGTACCGTATCTCCCACATTCGCGTTCCTGCACATCGTTGTGATCCCGCTGGATCTTGTCGTCGGCTGGTTCACCGAATTTACAGGTTGAGGGCCAAGACACCCATCAGGAGGCCGGCGGCGGCGGAAACGGGCGCGGCGATAGAGACACCGGCACCGGTGGCAACGGGGGTGCTGCCGGAGGAGGTGCTGTTGGTGGAACCGCTGGCCGAAGCAGAGGCACGGGCGGAGGAGGAAACTGCCGTCGACAGAGTGTTAGTGCTCACACCGGTCGAAGTCTGGGTGCCGGTGGAGGTAATGGTAGTGAGGCCAGTGGAGGAGGCAGTCTCAGTGGTCTCAGTGGAAGAGGTCTTAGTGGAGGAGGCAGTACCAGTAGTAGCGGTGGAAGTGCCAGTAGCGGAGGTGGTGGCCTTGGACTCGCTGGCGGTGGTGGTCGAGGTGGACTCAGAAGAGCCCTCAACGTTGAACTGCTGGGACTGAGCGAGGATACCGCTGTTCTGGGCAGAGTTGGAGAGGAAGTTGATCTGGTAGCCCTTGCTGTACCCAATTGTTAGTGAATTCTGGTCCGTCATCTCGGTCGGGAAAGGAACTGTACCCGTTGGTCAGGTCAGACAGGCCAGAGACATCGTAGGAGCCCTTGGAGGCTTCAACGTCGGAGGCGATCTTCTGCTCAACGCTGGGGTAGACGGCGTTGTTGACAATGTAGAGATCGAAAGAAGAGGGGTCGGTACTGGTGCGTCTGTTAGTATGCGTGGTGGTAGCTACGGTGGTGGATAGAGAAACGAAACATGGACATACTCGACGGAATCCCACTTCACGGTGAAAGATTTGGAGAGGTCAACCTCCTCACCCTTCTTGGGGGAAGTGACCTGAAGAGCTAGCTGGAGTCAGTTCAAGCGTCCCGATATCACCTTAGTTTCAGAAAGACAAACCTCCAACGGAAGCAGCCAGAGGCAAGAGAGAGACGGCGTAGGAGAGACGCATGTTGACTGATTATAGATCCGAAAGGATAAAAGTATTAAATATGCTTAAGAACGAGGGAATCTAAGAGTTGAACGAGTGTAGTAAGGAAGAAGAGAAGGAGAAAGGAGGGCAGACAGGAAGAGGGTATATTTAAATAGCGGGATGAGTGAATCACTTTGTCTCAAACCCTTGGAAAATCTATATAACGGTATATTGACGGGGCGATCGGCCTGCCAGGAAAAAGGGAAAAGCTTCGAAAGATCCACCGACAACGTTACTATAATTGTACATGGCCATACGATTAATACACTGGCTGAGGTTCTACATAGGAAATCGACTAAATATAGAATGGACTGGAGAGAAACAAAGGCGTGTCTGGGATGGCGAGGTTTCTGATGACAGCATCCCTTGGGCATAACAACCATGGTCTCAGAAGTGGGATTGGACTAGTTTCAGAGACAGAACCCGATAGAGCGCAGAGTCTTCCAGCAGACGAGTGTCGTTGTTTAGGGCTCTTTTGCTGTAGAGAGCGCCACTAGTGCTGTCTTGGCAGGGCCCGGAGTCGATAGAGGCATCACGAGGCTGCCTCATTGGTAAACTGGCCACTGGATTCTTCCCGAATGCTGAGTGCTCTCGCGATAAGGTACGAGCAGGACTGCCGGGTATTTTTGGGACATTCCAGCCAACCAGGTCTCGCGGATAAGTTGATGCCATGATCAGTGCCTATGGTGTGTTGGAAGAGTAAGCCTCAATCAACGACCACTTCGTATTCCCCTCCTGGCGCCAACTTTCCCTTCCTATGCGACCCTGCTCCTTCCTGGAACTCGGCTGTTATCAGTGTCCGTGCTTATATTGACTCTTCAGCCCACTGAGTAGTACTGCGTCGTTTGACGGCTGAGATAGATGTCCGGCGTGGCCGCCATTCATTGGCTTGGTGTGAGCTGGCCCCGAAGGGAGCGACCTGGTTAGCAACTGGGCTGCAAAGATTCTACTATTATCTCTGGATGTTTCTTATTATACCTCGTCGTCTAAGACGTAATTTGGATAGTTGAGGAATGGATACAGACAGCATTTTCTTGATGGGGTAATGGCGGAGCAAGTATTGATCCGAGAACTGCTGAGATAAGGGCTGCAACCCTTATCACCCATCAAGCCCTGATGTCATCTATCCAGCCTCTCCGAAAGACAAGTCTACAGCTCAATTTTCAACCAATTATTCGGATTTTCGTTCCTCTGTCCATTTTGTTGTGTATAGCAGATTTATAGGAACATGACCAACTGTGAATCCAACTGAGACAATGTGCAGATCGTCATGCTAGCGTCATGGCATATCGACGGCGCTGGGCATCATCATATGAACGTCATGGAACAGGATAACGACCAGGCGAAGCCACTGAGCGAATGCAAGGTCAACATCATACACCTCATGGATATATACTAGCATGTCACTCCATTCCATTGCTAACATAATTTCACGTCAAGCCCCCTGTCCGCGCTACAGAAACCTATCCACACGAACATCCCTTGCTATGAAGATCGCAATCACCGGTGCTCGCGGCACTGTCGGACGGGCCGTGGTGAAGGCCGCATCGGAAGCTGGTCATGCAACGGTACAGGTCGACCGTACCGACACCGAATACGATGGGACACCGAATTCAGAGATGAAAACCGCGGACACTGCGAATGACTACAAGGCCACGCTCGAGGCCTTCAAGGGCTGCGATGCCGTTATCCATCTGGCTGCTATTCCGAACCCCCTAGACAAAAGCGATGATCTGGTACACAACAATAATGTGAATTCGGCATTCAATGGGTTCCGAGCTGCTGCCGAGCTCGGCATTAGGAAGTTCTGCTATGCTTCGTCGGTGAATGCTATCGGCCTCGAATATGCCACCCGACCGCTGAAGTTCGACTACTTCCCCATCGATGAAGAAGCGCCGGAGCGACCGACTGATTCGTATGCCCTCGCAAAAGACGAGGCAGAAATGCAGGGGAAGGCCTTCGCGCAGTGGTACCCCGGAATGAACATCGCATGTATGCGTATCCACGCGGTCGCATCGCGCTCAGAGGCGCAGAAAGGACATATAGAGAACTGGGATAGCTCCGCAGTGAAGAGTTTGTGGGGATGGGTTAGTGCTCAGGCGACAGCGAGAGCATGTTTGTTAGCGGTAGGAAAGAGCGAGAAGTTGAATGGATGCGAGGTCTTCAATATTGTGGCACCGACGACGACTCAGGACACGCCCTCCAAGGACCTTGCGAAGAAGTATTATCCGCATGCAGAGATTCGCGGCGACCTGTCGAGTAATCAGTCGTTCTTCACAACAGAGAAGGCGAAGAGAATCCTGGGATGGGTTCATGAGGAGAAAGAGTAATTATATCACGTCACAAACTGTCATCTAGAACCATATTCTAAGTTCATTCATAATGAAACTGGAAACCTGAATCAAGAGCATCTGTACTTTGATACTCCACAGCCGTATGAAACATGTACACATCCTGAGTTGAATCTCAACACTCCAACATCATTCAATACGCCTCGATACGTCAGCGGGAAGCAGTGGCCAAAGTTATACGATGTTCTTTTGCTGGTCTCATATACCCCGTAACTGTTGAAGCTTACTTGCAGATCCCTATTTTGATATGAAAACAACCCGCCACCATGGTCTAAAGGCTGCAGGGGTGAAGGAAGTCCTGGATGCGAAGGTGCCAATATGAGCTCATGAAACCCAGGCCTGCCAAACACGACCATCCGCGCATATCGAATCTTGTTCCAAAACCATGGGTGGGAGCCCAGCAAACGATGCCCAAAGATGCCCAAAGCTGAAAAGCACGTCCACATCGAAGGGACCAAAACACCAAAAGTTCGACGGTCGCTCGCCCGACAACATGGAGCGCCCATACCAAATCCCAGAACAGAAAGCCTTGAAGTGACTTATCCTCCTTCATGATTAAGGAGAGGGGAGGTTATTGAGGGCAGAATGCTCAAATTTATGGAGCTCTAGTATGGTGTCTTCGACATTCTTTGCGACGAGGGTGACTTTATCGCCTTAGGTTGAACCATTTCCAACGCACAGCTGAGATGAACATCCGGTATTATGACCATTTCTTTGGATGTAGTGAAAGGCTTTGGGCGTGCTAGCTGGAGGTAGCGCAAACCCCGAAGATATGTATGGAGACCAACATCCTTGAAAACTTTAGACAGGCTAATGTATAGGAACAGGTTCAACCTCAGTGGATCATCTTTTTTCTACGAGACATGTACCCGGAATCCGCGATGTCTCACTACATGGATGCGCTTCCCTATCGTGCCGTGATGGTGGGAATTAGCCTGGGTTATCTGGAAACAGATTGCCCACCTCTCCTGTTCGAAGATGTATTTCATCAAGCGAGAGATGATGGCTGCACGATCACCTGTCACAACGACGTCGGCGTGAAGGATTTCTTTCTCCACATTTTCCAGGCAATGATGATTTCTAGCGCTTCAAAGGTGCGCGGTTAATATATGCTACACTTCTGCTAGTGTCAATACGCAAATCATGGCCGAATTACAGGAAAATCAGAAGCAAGTGTTGCGACGCCACAGCAGCTTATCCGGCGGGTGGATTGAGCTCTTATATCGTCAGGGATGCCACGCGGTACGGCAGGGATATGGTGTAATGGCCCTGCATGAGCTCGTTGAGGATATAAAAGTACTAGATAGCTCAAGCCTCTATGTGCACAATCTATCTAGATGGTCGCGGATCATTAACTAAAAACGAAAAGCAATGTCAGGTCCTGGTCTTTAACTAACGGGTTTGGTTTGCGTAGGTAGTACTCTAGTAATCTAAGGGTACCTGCCTGTACTTTGTATTCCTTTTCGAATGGTGATATTGTCGAGTTTTTCGATAGAATTACTGAGTGCTAGACAACTTCTTCACAACTCGGGATAACGCAACGATGATTTTTTTTTTCCCTTGGTGCTCATAGTATATTGCATATGACCCAAAAGTGAACATGCGTCGTGCTTTCAATTAACTCCTACGTCCAGCAAGCCTGGCTTTATTGGTGTTGAAATGCCACTGCAGGTAGTATTACTATGGCCACAGCCGAGATCAAGTATAGATGCGCCAGAACGTCCTTGACATAGGTACGTGCCTTGCACAACAATACTCTCTTAGAATTATCACATTTGATATATCGACATCAGAAACAATACTTGCCTTCAGATCCTATGATTCCTATCTCACCCTTACCCGCCAAGCCCGCCGTCCCCAGAGATACGCATGATGCAACTCCCTCTATAACCAGATGTTAACAGTATACTATATAGAATCTACACTGACTTTGACACTCCAACCTCACCTTTGTGCCAATAGCCGAGGTGATTTGATGGTGGATGTTCCCCCGCCAGAAAACATTCTGGTTCTCCGAGTCGGCGACCTCTTGCTCCAATTATCATCCTTGGATGGTGTGGAGATTGTCAAAAAGTTAGGTAATGCCGGTCGAGATCGAACGGGACATCCGCCCTTGGCAAATCATAATTCCTCTTCTGCAGCGCCTAAACGAGGTGGCGGGATGTCGAAACATCGAGGCATCTTCCCAGAGCACAATAACGCTGGGTCTTGTCGCTGACAAACTCTAGCTGCCTGGCTTAACAATCATTCATAATCAGAGTATTCTGGCACGTCCACCACATAAGAGAAGACAATCACAGGACACATTTATCTGTACGTCCTCCTCAGCTAGTCTACAGCGTGGTGATATCATTCGATTGCCGCAATGCAGGAAGCACAAGTGTTTGTCCGAAATGACTCGGTGGATGTCCGTGTTCACCAGGTGCCCATCCCCAAACCCGGAGCCGGTCAGATACTTATCAAAGTTGTCGCGACTGGTACCAACCCCAAAGACTGGAAATTCCCGGCATGGATGGAAAAGTTCAATGGCGCCAATACGGGAGATGATATCACTGGATACGTCCATGAGATCGGCGATGGTGTCTCGGGATTTCAAGTCGGGGATCGGGTCGCCGCGTATCACGACTATACAGCTCCACATGGCAGCTACGCTGAATATGCCATCGGCGAAGACTACGCCACATTCCACATCCCTGGGAATATTTCCTTTGAGCAAGCGGCGACCGTCCCCCTCGCCGCTATGACCGCGTCACTAGCACTCTTCTCTCGCCTGGGGTTGCCCGAACCGTGGTTCAAAGAAAAGACATGGTCCCAGAAGCCAGAGGGTGGAGTACTAGTCTACGGCGCTGCGAGTGCCGTGGGAACATTCGCTATCAAGCTGCTACAGAAAGCCGATATTCATCCGATTATCTGTGTCGCTGGACGGGGAAAAGATTTCGTTCGCAGTCACCTGGACGAGAGCAAGGGTGATGTGGTCATCGACTATCGCGAAGGGGAGTCGGCCGTCGTCGCTGCTATTCGGAAAGCCACACAGCAGTTGCGTTATGCTCTGGACGCTGTCAGTGAGACGGCCAGTTTCAGTGTTGTCAGTCAGGTGCTGGATCCTGACTACGGTGCTATGTCTGTTGTCAGCCCCGTGGGGCCGGAGGAGTGTCCTGGCAAGATTCGGGTGGAATTCACTGATGTTGGAAGAGCTCACAGGGACGAGAAGGAATTTGCTTACGTCTGGTCGAGGTTCTTCACTCTTGGGCTTCGGGAAGGCTGGCTCGCACCTCATCCGCATGAGCTCGTCCGTGGTGGTCTGCAGGGTGTCCAGACAGCGTTGACCAACCTCAAAAAGGGAAAGGCCAGTGCGCTCAAGTATGTCGTGAAGATCAAGGAGAATTGATTGAATGTGAGGGCTGTTATTTCAACATATAACACATGTGTACAGACCTGCGCGGGCCAGAAAAATGAACATTGTCACCGATTGAATCGACTATCCAGAATCTACGGTAAAAGGTTGAAAGCCTTGGTAAAGACAGGCTCGTACAAAGGTTCTCCAGGCTTCACAACGCTCTTCAACAGACAGAGCATCTTGAAATAAAGTGATAAAGAACGGTTTCGAGATCGAATGGCTTGCAAAATACTTAACGTTTACAACATATCTATCCTTAGATTCCTTACAGGTCGCGCAAGCCATGAACATGAATGTATACTGGGAATTCACTCTTGGAGCGAAGGTCCCCGTCGATATCATAAAGGTTTAATGTTCGCTGCTTCCAAATGAAACGTTCGAGATAGGAGAGTATTTTATATTACCATTACATCACCAGTTCAGCACTCCAGCTTCTAGTGTCTTTCGCACCGATCATATATAGGAGGACAAGGTTAGGTCGCTTTGTCCAGGGCCTGCCCCAGACACATCTCATAGTAAATTCCCTGCCGCTGGAGCAGCTCCTCATGAGTCCCTTGCTCCCGAATGTTGCCTCCAACCAGCACGAAGATCCGGTCTGAGTGTTTGATAGTTGACAAGCGGTGTGCGATCGCAATCGTTGTCCGACCATTTTTGGCCTGGTCCAAGGCCTCCTGCACAATCCTCTCACTCTCGGTATCCAACGCAGACGTAGCCTCATCCAACAACAGCAAACGGGGTCGGCGGATTAGCGCTCTTGCGATTGCAATACGCTGCCGTTGACCACCAGAGAAAAGACTCCCTCGTGAACCACATGACGTCGCCAATCCATCTGGCAGGGAGGAAATGAAGTCAAAAATATTCGCCTGGCGGCAGGCCTCGTAGATCCGTTCCTCGGTCGCCTCTTCTTCAAGGCCTAATGCGATATTTTCACGGATGGTTCCTTGGTAGAGGACTGGTTCTTGTTGGACAAGGGATAAATGGCTGCGGTACGAAGCGAGCGACATGTCGCGGATATCTGAACCGTCTAGTTGGATGCTTCCAGACGTTGGATTGTAATACCGCTCTAGGAGCGAGATGAGGCTGGACTTTCCATGGCCTGAGGGTCCCACAAAAGCCACGAATTGCCCAGGGTTAATCTAATAAATCCCATCAGCATATTATGATCCAGACCTTCACGTCAAACCTGGGCCTTACCTGAATGTTGATATCATTTAACACGGGCCGAGTGGGCCGAGTAGGGTACCTGAATGCTACGTCCTGCAGCGCCACATGGGCAGCTGTATCCTTTGCTCCTCCGGACGCGTTGTCAGACGAGCCGTCTTGAACATCAGGTTGCAGGGAACGGAGCCAGAAAATATAGTTGCATGCTGCCTGCGACTTGGTAAAGCCTGCTCACTGTCAGTGGAAGCAACGAAGATTACCCTTAGGAGGCCTACTGGTGCTGAACATGAAGAATGACGCCGCCCCTTCACCAGACAGTATAGCTCCGATGACAACGATGTATAACCGTGTACTGGAGTACTCTCCTGTTGATAACAGGCGACCTCCATACCTATACACAGTTTAGACATAGGAAACAGAGTATGACAGCAACGTAGATACATACCAAAAGCTTAATGCCATAGAGAGTAATGAGAGGGACTGTGTGAGAGCTAGCCAGAACATCGTCCAGGTTAACGTCTTAATGGACTTTCGCTCAATGCCCGCCAACTTGTCAGTGTACTTCTTTAGGATCACTCGTTCAATTGCCAACGATGCAACAGTGCGAATCGCAGACACCGCCTCACCAGCTAATGCTGCACTTTCAGAGAATCGCTGCGAGGTGGCGTCATCCAGTCGGAACTCCAGGCGAATCCTAAGGTAACCACAGAATACCATTGGAACCATAGCCCCTGCGAGTACAGCCAACCCCAGTTTCCACCCAACCGATATAGAGAGAATAGAGCTGGCGATGATATTCACCAGGGCAATGATGACAATTCCAACATTGAAGCCTAGCAGCTCTTGCAAGCTAGTAGGCTTCGCCGCGAGGTCGGAGACCAGGGAGCCAGTCGTATGTTGTGGTTGGTCATAAAAGGTCATATCTTGCCGGATATAACTGCGGAACATTTCGAGACGGTATGTATACACAACACACTGCGTGGTGGTGAGCAGAGTTACTAACCGTGGTAGCTGGGCGACACTTACATGGGCAATGACATTTGTAACCCAGCCCAGAATCCCATAGACAAGCAGGATGGCAAGAGCAACCACGAAAAACATAAGGGCATAGAAATCCCCCTTTTCCACCATCTTGCCCGTGGATTCTATTTGGAAGACATCCAACACCTTCGCGAATAAAAACGCGAGTATCGGGTATGTGGCTCCTAGATTCTGCATTAGAGCGGCAAGCACGCCGTAGGACAGGGGGACGCGTACCTCCTACAATGCAGGTAATCAATGTGATAATGAATTCAGGCCATAGCTCGCGGCGCTCCAGGAGCAGAACAGCCAGACACCGAATCAGACTACTGCCACGCCCAGAAGGAGCCTGCAGTCTTTCCACAAGCTTTGCTTCTTTGTTATGGTCATGTTGCCCGGAAATCACCGGGGCGATACCAGTGCGTACTTCGCTCTCTTCCTTCTCTGTCTGAGTTCCATCTTTTTTTACCGTACCAAGATCCTGGGTTTTGATGAGCCGATGGTAAGTTCCACCTGCGGCCTTGAGTTCATCATGAGTTCCCTTCTCAATGACCTGCCCTTGCGACAGAACCACTATTTGGTCTGCCTTTCTAATCGTAGACAGCTTGTGCGCGATCGTGATGGTCGTTCGGGATGCAGAAACGTTGTCCAAGGCCTCTTGCACAATCTTTTCAGCCTGTGGATCCAACGCACTTGTAGCTTCGTCGAGGATCAACACCTTTGGATTTGAAACGATACTCCGGGCAATCGCGATACGCTGCTTCTGGCCTCCGGACAACATTGTTGCGCGCTCTCCGACCTGCGTGTCGTACTTCTGCAGAGGACGTTAGTAGTTGTGTGGTCAACCCGTAACCTCTGTTTGCTTAAGAACATACTTCGGGCAAGGTCTCTATGAAATCATGAGCGTAGGCAGCCTTGCAGGCTGTAATGACCCGCTCAAACTGGTCCTCCTTTGGGGCGTTGGCATAATCCGTCCCTGCCAGGCCGTATGCCACGTTTTCAAATATCGTGGCATTGAACAGTGTGGGTTCCTAAGTGAGAGTCAGATAACAAGATAGACGACAGAGAGATAGGAGTGCAGAATGCTGCTTCGAACCTGTTGAACAATGCGAATGTTAGTCCTCAGCCATTGGATGTTGAGTTGCCTGATGTCTACCCCGTCCAGTGTGATGATGCCGTCCTGTGTATTATACCATCTCTCGAGCAACCCAGTCACTGTGCTTTTACCCGATCCGCTGGGCCCAACCAAAGCCGTTGTCTTATTGGCGGGGATTGACAATGTGAAGTCATGAAGAACTGTGACCTGGGACCGGGTCGGATACGAAAAAGTGACATTTGAGAATTCGACATTCCCCTCACACTTGTCCGGTCGTTCACCGTCCAGAGACAGTCCGTCAATTGGAGACTCACGATCAATCACTTCCCACAGACTTTGTGCGGCTGACGCTGCCTTGGTGACTTGCATAATCTGCGGTGCGATCTGTGTCATTGCCGTCGCCGCTACGATGACAGCAAAGATCACACTATCGAAACATCCCGAGAGGACAGTAGTCAGAAAATGGTACCAGAGATGCTAACGAAACTCCCAACACCTACGTGACGATTTTTCCCGGCTCATCAATCTCACCCCTCGCATACATGCGAACTCCCTGCCAGAAGGCCAGGCCATATCCGGCATAGACACAGAAAAACTCCGCTGAGTATAATATCGCCATGTTCAGAGACTGTGTGAGGCCCAGGCGCTTAGCTTCCTTGGCGTGGTCATCATATTTGGTCATCAACTTGGAAAAGGCGGAAAAGGCATGCACGGTCTTCATGCTGGCAAGGACTTCCTCAGCCAGAGACCCAGCGATGGAGTTTACATGGAGGATTCGGTTCTCCTGCTTGACGAGGATAGCGGCACAGATGGACGTCACAATAAGGATTGCAGGGGCGATACAGATTGTAATTAGAGTTAGTTTCCACTGCACGACGAAGGCTACAATGAAGGCCGCCACGAAGGTGGCTGTGCCCTGCACCGCGAAGCCCAGCTTCTCTGAGATCCCTTGGTTGACTAGGTTGGCATTAGTCGTCAGTTGCACAACGGAAGAGCCACTCTTGTTGCAATCGAAGAAGCCAATGTCTTGTCGCAGTAGGTGTGTCAAGAAGGAAACTCGTAGGGTTTTGGTAGTTCGCACCGCGGAGACAGATAACGATAACTACGGGTGGGAAGTGAAGTACCTCTATTAATATGGATCAAGCGTAGAGGAAGGTAGGAGACATACTGTCCAGGTATAGACTAGCACAAATTTGCCGACAAAGAGATAGACAAAGTAAAGTCTATGGAAGGTTATCGATATTAATAACTAGCTTAAGAATGTGCCACTCAACTGTACAGCACTTACGTGAACTTATTCATTGTCGACCGAAACTCATCTGGGGAATCTGAACCGGTGGCGACGTTATTGAAGTTCGTGATCATCTTCCCAAACAGTACATCCATCAAGGGCAGAGCGCTGCCTGCGCCGATGGCTCCGATCAAGGCGAGAACATTGAGGACCCAGCCCACAGTATCGGTATATGAAAAGATCCTGATATAACTTCTCAGTCCACCCGCCTGTTCTGGTGCACTGGTGACCTTGTTGGTGTCTGCCTTTGGAGGCTGTTCCTCCACGGATGAAAGTGATGTCCCATCCCTTGTTGGCGCTGGAGAATCCGCATGAGCTGTCATCATAATACTGGGTTTAGTGTGCTCGTGAACATTTCCACGAAATGTTAGATCTATAACTTCTGGAGACGGGGATATAAGTTCATATAGGGGCGTGATCGGC